TCTTAAGAAGATTTTAAAGATATTTCCTATGTAACGTGTATGATCAGATTCTTACAAGGGATATACTGTAAATGTATTATATTTAGCGTGTACAATATTTGGCGGAAATTGATTTTTGAATAAGTTAAGCGTAGATTTGATTTAGCGCATTTCTTATATTCTTATTTATGTGTATATATGCAAGACATTTAGCTTTGTACTTGATTTAGCGGTTGCTGCATTCCGCCAAATCCGCTAAAAAGAATACACAGCCAAATTAATACGTTTACAGTATAGGTTTTCCTTTAACTCTGTCTGAGTTAATGATTGGAATGATTATTAAGCTATGTCTGAGAGTATATCACACAGTAATTAAATTTTCTCTTATCTAAAATGGTGACTGGGTAAGGTACTGCTTGCACCGTGTTTCTCCCCTAGGTTCCCATTGATAGATAAGAACCAGTTGTCTCAAGCTTCTTCAGATTTTTACACCCAGAACTTAAAATCAATTCTCTAGGATACTTGTCACTAGTGTTTATGACTTTTATACTTTTATTTTGCTCTTACCCTTAAGCTTTTCCATCCTCTATCCTTAAATATCCATCACACACATAATACTCTAATATTAATTTAAAGCATTTTACACTAAAAAGGATTTAAAAAGAGAAACTTTCAAAAATATAATTAACTAAGCAGTAAGTACTTAACAAAGATTGCATTGAAGTCTATGAGGCAATTTTTTGAAAATAGAAATTCAAATAATTAGAATACCAATAAATACTGTAGTGAAAAAATGCACTAAAACACATTAGAAATAGAATGACAATTTAAAATGATTTTTTTTTCTGATAAGATTTTTAAAATTGATTTTTTTATTAATTAAAAACAGAAGGAGATCACTCTTACCAAAATTCAAGGTCATAAATTAGGACACATCCCACCCTTACGTGCTAATAGAAATAAATGCGAATTATGTCTAAATATACTGAGTATTCAACACCTGCACATCTATATTCAATTTCATTGAATCTTTTGCTATTAGGATGGAATACCTTAACTTCTTTCTTGCTGATTCATCATTCAACTTCTTCGGCTACCTTCTGAATGTCTGACTTTCCCAAAGCTTTTCCTTATATACCCTTAGGCTAGTCCATTCCAAGGGTTGTCAGGTCATTCTACTATATCTGAAGTCTTCAATGCGATTTACTCAAATGCTTCTTAACCATTACATCTATATATTCCTATGTAAACCTTGACCCACTGTTGTGGCCCTGCCCTACCCCAGGGGTCATGATTTGAACAAACTTGAATATGCACTGTGTTGCGCCTGCATAGCAAACCTTTAGTGTTGTTTAATAGAGTGTATGTTTCATAGTTATGTTTACGTTATAGAACTAAAGATGCATGTTTACACTTGGAACAACAAACGTCTGTGCTTAATCTTGATTACGTGGAATACGTTTACCTTCAGTGCATATTTAAGCATATGTTCCTTTCTAAATAGTTTCCTTAGAATTATTATGAATTTTTGATTAATTAATTAGAAGTCTTGTAGTACTCGGTTATTGAAAGATTTATTTATTACCGGCATTTCGTTATATGATAACTGGAAATGCTTAATATTCAGTAATTGCGGAAACTGTATGGTAGAGATGAATATATCCGGATTGTTAGCAGACGAGTAGTTTCTGGATATATAAATCATAAGCTTAAAATAAAATTATAGATATATAAAATAGATCTTTTGGAGCATTATAAGTAGGTTGGATAATCCTAGTTTATTGATAAAAGTATTGTTTTTGGAATTTTACATTCTACGTATGACGTAGTCGCAGCATCACTGCGTCACAGTATAAAAGCAGCAAACTCGAAGCAGCGTTGTCAGATCCTTTGCAGAGAATTTAGAAAGAACATCTAGATCGGTGTCAGTCGATGTCAGTCAAGATAAAGGTAATCTCATATTTTAGATAAGTTAGAAAATTAGTTTTAGAGTTTCTTAGCCTATTTAGAAATAGCAAATTAAAATGTGAATTCTTTAGGAAATATTTGAGAATTTATTGTTTTAAAGTATTCAAATATTGACTACTCGGTTTGGGATTCTGAACCAAAGTTTGTTTCTTAATTTATTAGAATCAATTTAAGTATTATGCAAATTTAGAATAATTTATTCCATTGTTATTGAGAATTTAGCTAAAGTTAATTGACGGAGCATTTTGGCACCGGCGATACCGAACACAGTAACACAGTGCACCTGGTTGCACCGAGCACCGAGTAGTCTCGAGCACATGGTAGCACCGAGTAGCCCCGAGCACCGACTCGGATATTAGACCATTCTAAGTTGCATAGGTTATAATTGATGGTTGGAATTAGCACAAGAACTTTCCTATCTACGCATGACATGCTAGCATAGGAGGGGGGGGGGTGGACTTTTTGTTATTAAGAAGTAGAAATTTGGATTTCTACTTTTTGATTATAGTATCAGAGTTCCTGATTCTGCCTGTATAGTTATACATAGCAGTAGCAGCAGATAGCACCGAACATCTTGAAGCTCCGAAAACCGAGAAGTAGTACAGAACACCTAGTAGCACCGGATACCTTGTAGGCTTGTAGCACCGGAAACTGATTAGCACCGAACTCCAGGTAGCACCGAGTACCGAGAAGCACCGAACATCGAGAAGCACCGAGCTCCGTAGAAGTTCGGCAGTATACTTACTATGGATGAGATATTTTTAAATATTTATTTAACTTTATTGTCTTTGATGCTTTAATAAATTATGTATTGATGCTATAATAAATATATGTATTAACTATATATATTTCTTTTCTTTATTAAAACTAGGTACCTTCGAACCCAACTATTGTAACGTGCCTCATACGTACCAGGTTGATGGCAGCGAATTTATATTTACTTATAAAACCCAAAACGTTACAACTACCTGGGGATACTTCTGTATTAATATGATTCATAATGGCATAGCTGTTCTTGAGAAGAAGATTTTTAAATGTATTTCCTATATATTCCTAACTTTGACCCCCTCTTGTGGCCCTGTCCTACCCCCAAGGGGTCATGATCGGAAAAAACCTGAATCTACACTACCTGAGGATACTTCTGTTATAATATGACTGATCATGGCTTTGCTGTTTTCGAGAAGAAGATTTTTTAAAGACATTTCCTATATATTTCTTTGTAAAAATATGACCCCTCTTGTTGCCCCGCCCTACCCTCGGGGGCTATGATATGAGCAAACCTGAATCCGAGTATATAATAAAGCTTTCACATAAGTTTATCTTCTCTTGCCCAGTGGTTCTTGAGAAGAAGGCTTTTAAAAAGTGCCACCAAATTTTCACGCATTCTTAATTATCCCCCTTTGAAAGAGGGCGTGACACTTCCTGTGAATAAACTGTGAATAAAAATTCCCTTCCCTGCTTTGAGGCAAGTTTGGGTGAAATTAGCCCAGTGGTTCTTGAGAAAAAGTCTAGAACAGACGGAGGCCGGACACTCTTTGATCAGAAAAGCTCACTTGAACATTCAGCTCAGATGAGCTAAAAAAAAAAAAAAGCTACAAATTTCCGGAGGCGTTTAATTAGCATAAATCCTTAACTTTCAGGATGTAAAATGCATCCTTTATATTTAAGAAAAATGGAAAATTTGATTTGTATGAATAACAATTATTAAAACTCAAATGCAGGAAATTCAGAGTTGAGAAAACAAAACCAACGCACCAGTGCCGTCAGTTCGTGTTCAGTGATGTGTGAAGAGTTAACTAACTGAATACAAGTGGTTAAACGCAAACATTAACAATTACGAGCTCTTGCCCATGTTTATAAATACAAATGTTTGACGTAATGTTTAGAAGATTGTCGTTGTGACTGAATTTTAAGAAAAATTCATATTAGTTCATTTCATTAAACTAAAGTTATTTACATGTAAATGTATGATTAAAAGTATAAATTCAGAATTGTAAACAAAACAGCAATAAAAGTGTGTCCAGACCCCTTTAATAAACATGTTATATTTTTGTTGTTGTTATACTGAATGTATTTAAAATGCATTTAAAAGAAATCTTCACGGTTATGTAAGGCCACCCTTAAAAAAGGTTTGTTTGGAATTGCCCCTTGGGAGGATTCAGACCCATGAGGGAGGGAGGGAAATTTTTTTTTTCAAAATTAAAGTGAAATTAAAAATTGATGATAAATATCTCAATAAGGGATGAACACATTATTTTCTTTCTTTTTGTAAAGGGAATCTTCTATCACCCAGGATTCCACTTTTGCTTAGATCCTACACTTATTAAGTGATTGGTCGGCACATGTCGTAACAGACCAAGAATTAATTGATTAAAAATATCTTCTTATTTTTGGTCAATAAAATTTTTCCAGGAGGGGTCATTTCAATGAGGCGGGAGGCAATTTCCAAACAAACAATAATTTTATTTGGACCTAAGCGCAAACATTTTACGGAGTAAACATTTTTGAACTGTCTTGATGCATTTTCAACCGTTGTGATCTACAGTACATGTTTTATTACCCAAAGGCTGTGGTTTATGCACCCAGTTGGCTTAAAAACTTTAATAAAATCGTTTTAAACTTATCATGTTTGACTTTTTAGCATGAAAGTATATTAGCAAGTATGTTTCTTAACATTTGTTGGCTGAAATAATCATACCTGTTAAGTGTGCATATCATTTTAAAGAACTTCCGTCAGCTAAAACATTTCCTCGTATTTTTTTCTTTACACTGAATAGAGTAATAAAGTTTAAAGTCAATATTTTCTGTTTTACAGAAACTTGCACAGCACATCAAATAAGACGGAGTAAATGTTCAAAACAAAATGTTTGATCAAAAATGGAATGCAAATTGCCTTATTTTTAAAGTAATATCACTTTATCTAGTAGTTGGTTGTAAGTATATACTATACAATAGAAAAAAGTAAACACTTATTGCGATTGGATGTGTAAATTATAAACGCTATTCATATTATCAGTAACTAAGTAAAGTTTATTCTAGTTTCAGTATCCCAGAATCCGACAAGCCGTGGTGTTTACACCTGGATTCATAATTGTACACTTAATGTCAACTGGAGCTCTGAAAATGAAATCAAAGGATGTGTTCTGTATACGTATCGCTTAAAACTCTTTCAGAATGATACAGAAGAAAGAACAATTGATACAACAGCCTTGATGTATTCTAAGGAGGGAATCCTTTCCAATTCTGTGTACCGAGTGGAAATCACGCCCGAAATGAACTGTAATGGCAATTACACTGAGCACAAAACAAGGATAAACACTATCTCGGCATTCCCAGGTATTTGAATCTCTACTATTGATTACAATGATGATATTGATCCTGAAGTTGACTCATTTTATAAATTCAGGATTTAAGTTGAAAATATCGTTGTCGTATGTTTTATTGGAGATCACTGTAAGGTACTTTTGCCAAATTATTTCTGTCAATATTGTCTGTTCTTTCCTATTCTTTTTAGAGCTATAATTGTTTACATATCCAAACAGCAGTTTCTATTGCTTATCTCATTCCTCATCTCCTACAATATGAAGGATATTAAATTTAGTTATTATGGGGGTCATCATTCAAAATCATATATTAAGCTAATAAGGAAAAAAAAAACATAATTATGTGTCAAATATTTATCTCCGTTGAAATATACACACAATGCATAATGTTTAAATATTTTCAAGATATGAGATTTTAAAAGGTTTATATTGATATTGATTTTCAATGATAAGCACACTATTTATTTTACAAAACCTTAGTGAACACAGTACTGTAACCGATGATTATACGCGACATTTTTTTTTCAATTCACGATTAGCCTATAGATGATTAATTAATATCCGCGACTGGGTTTCCCTATTTTATAACCCTTTTAAGTTTTTCCATTCCATTTCTAAAAACTACAAAATTTGTGACGGCTTTACGTGAGCAACGAATATGTGATATGTGGCCAATAGAGCGTAGAAGTGTGAATTCTTATTTTTTAATTCTGCAAGTGGTAATCCAACTTATACCCATAGCTCCCTTTCTTAGCAGGAAATTCTTAAAAAACGTATGTCAATTTTAAATATTTTTTAATATTCCCAACAATCAAAATGAATTTGAATTACCATACCTATACTGGATTCCAAAACTCCATAAAAATCCTTACAAACAAAGATTCAATGTGGGATCCAGTAAATGTTCTACCAAGCCTTTATCTTTACTCCTAACTAAAATATTTACAGAAGTGAAGGAGAAACTTCAGGAGTACTGTACAACATTATATTCGAGAAGTGGTGTAAATCAGTTCAACACTTTATACAACCATTCCTCATGATAAATTTAAGTCCAGGCATTTTGACATCGTAGACAGATGCTATTTAATAGAAATGGTACTCGTAAATACACTTATCTTGTCATTAATGTCATTTGCAAAACTATTTGTCAAAAAGCATTCTGATTGTACACACAAGTACTCTAAGTTGATATTAAAAAGATGTTTGAGTTTCTGATTCACAATATATATGTAGTTTTTGTAGATCAGGTCTTTAAACAATCTGTTGGAATTCCATGGGTACCAATTACGCCCCCTTATTAACAGACCTATTTTTGTATTCATATGAAGCCAGAATTTATTCAAAAACTTCTATATGAGAACAAAAAAACACTTGCTGTGGCCTTCAACTTGACATTTAGATAAATCAACGACGTATTATCAATTAACAATAGATATTTCCATTCATATGTCGACTCGATATATCCCAGTGAGCTTAAAATAAAAGAGACTACAGAGTCTGACACATCTGTTTCATATCTGGATATTTTACTAGAAAAAGACTGTAATGGTAGCCTATCAACAAATCTTTATGATAAACGTGATGACTTCAATTTTTCAAATCGTCAACTTCCCTTTCTTATGTAGCAATATACCCTTATCACCGGCATATGGGGTTTTTGTCTTCCAGTTGATTCGATACGCAAGAGCATGCTCTACTTATGCTTACATATGCTTGTTTACTTACAGTCAAATGCTGACTGACGTAAATAAATGAATAAATAATACCCAGGAACAGAGAAGATAACTTTTCAAAGAATTAATACATTTTCCCTATATAATCAATAGAGCCCCACCTTAACACAAGAACCGCTGACCAGGGGCCATGAAATTCACTTTGGGAAGAGGCATTCTTGCTCATCATAACTATGTACTTACTTAGTTTGTTTTATACAGAGGAACAGAGAAGATTTTTAAAGAAATAATGCATTTTCACCATATAATAAATAAATTCACAATTTTGGAAGAGGCATTCTTGCTCATCATAACTATGTACTCAGTTTGTTTAATACCCAGGAACAGAGAAGAAGTTTTTTAAAGAAATGATGAATTTTCACTATACAATCAATAGAGCCCAACCTAACACCAGAACCCCTGATTCGGTGACCATGATATTCAAAATTTCGGTGGCAGCCTTGCTTGTCATAACCATGCATGTACATGTAGTACATCTACCAAAACCCAGGAACAAAGAAGAAGAAATGAAAAGAATTTTCACTACATAGTCAATAGAGCCCTCACCCCTACACAGAACCCCTGATCCAGGGGTCATGATATTCGAAATTTCATCAGAAGCACCTTTGCTCATCATAACCATACAGATAGTTTTTTTTGTTTAATATACACGGGGAGAGAAGAAGCCTTTTAAAGAATATATGCAATTTCACTATGTTAATAAAGCCCCATCCTAACTTCTGAACCTCTGACCCTGGGGCCATGAATTTCACAATTTAGGTAAAGGACTCTGTTATAATCATGGTTGTCTGCAGTTAGAGTCATAACGATAGCTTGCTGTTTGATGTCCAGGAGTAGAAAAGAAGATTTCTTAAAATTGCGTTTTTATGGTTTTGGCCCCACCCCTCAGGCATCAGGGGGGCAGGGACCATGAAATTCACAATTTTTGCCACCCTTCGCCCAAAATCTATACATAATTTGTTGAAATTGGATAAGCGGTTCCACAGAAGAAGCTGAAAATATTCAAAAGTTTACGACTGACGAACGATGCACGCCGACGGACGAAAACAGATAGCAAAAGGTCACCTGAGTGACTCATGTGAAATAAAAATGTTGGATAAATACATTGTTCCTTTAAAAAAGTCAGTAGTACCCATGATATTTTATAAATGCAGCTCTACTGATCGCGAATTGCTTTTAATCCAAGATTTGATAGCTTAGGGATTGGTATTCAGTAAGTGGCAGATCACTCTTCTTGCAGTATATATATATTTACCACTCGATTGTATTTGCAAGATACAAAACGTTAGATTTTTACTTCATTACTGCAAAATCATTATAATTTTAAGTATTTTAGCATTGAATTCTTAATATTGGATGTCGTCGGTCGTATAACAGCACCTTGATAGGTCGATAAATTGAATACCGCATTATGATAGTTCAACGTTTATATTTACATATTCTCTTATTTAATCTTAAATTCATTCATCTCATTAATTTAGCACCTTTCAGAGCTGGTGGTAAATAGACGAAAGGGCCATTTTGACGTTGAAAGTTAAAAATCGCAAATGAATATCCGAGGGGGAAAATGAAAAATTAATTTTAAACGTACAATCGTTATATTTTAACAACAATTTAATAGGGTAATGGTTTTTAATGAAATGGAGCCAAAACAATTTACATTCTGGTGTTCCTAGTATATCGAAAGTGTATGTAAGTGTATTTATCCTTCAAAATCATACAGCCAATCTGAGTGGTTTAGAGTATACATGTGACGTGCGAAGAGACAATTCGTGATCTCTCCCTCACGCGCAGGGTGACAACTGTGTCGTCTCCCTTCAAAAGTTAAGACAATGAAATTGCGCAAGCGAGTGTGCAGAGTGACAACTGTGTTGTCTCCCTTTAGATTAAAATATAGTGTCGTAAGCAAGATATATATGCAAAACTTCTAACGGTGACGTCAAAGTTGTCTGTTGACATATTTATCTGTTTGACACAATTATATGGAATCCGAGCAGTGGATAAGAGAACACAAAAGGTTTATGTGACATTTTCTACTCATATTCTGGGGATATGGAAATTTAGACATAATAGAAAAAGTTCACTTGAAATTTCTTAAATTTATTCTTAATCTTAAATCTAGTACCCCAAATTGTATGGTGTATGGAGAAACAGATAGATATCCACTGTCAATATTTATAAAATTAAAACTGGTTATGTGCTTGGCAAAAATTTTAACAGCCCATGACAGTTAACTTACAAATGTGATTTATTCATAATTTTATAGGTGTTGTATGGATGGGTCTTTTGTACACCCATAGATAAAATACTTTATTCTTGTGGATTGTGTTATATATGGACAAGTCAAACATTTCATAGCTTTAACTGGCTCAAGTCAATTATTTAAGAAAAAATCAATTTGAACAAGAATGGAGAAGCATTGTTGATTGTTCACCCAAGTGTATTAATTAGAGAATTTTCAAAACAAACTTTGGTTTCGAAAATTATTTGCTGAATTTACTAAAAGATTGAAGAGTTACACTTACAAAACTACGAACATGTAATCATCATTTGCCAATTGAAACAGGTAGATGGAATAATATTGATAGAAATTTAAGAATATGTAGCATTTGTGATTGTAAAACTATTGGTGATGAATTTCAGTATGTTATGAAATGCAAGTACTTTTCGAATGATAGAAAAATATTTCTCCAAAAAAGATATTGTAAAAATTCTAACACTTTCAAGTTTAAAACTTATGAACACAAATAATGTAGAAATACAAAAATCATTGTCCAAATTTATAAAGAAAATTTTCAAAACTGTTTGTCCTTGAATCCTCCATATATATAACTGATTATATGACAGTATTGTTTATTTCATTCTATTTCTTTTTTCTTTATATACATGTCTATTTTTTTTTACCCTTGACTGTAATTTTTGTTTGTATATATGTATCTCTTGTACCAGTGATCTGGTTTAGAGAGAAATAAAGAATAGAATATTAATAACTTAGATCCTTCAGGATAATAAAACAATCATAGACTGTTGAAAAGGGAGTCATCACCAATTATCAGGTCTGAGTAGGGTTCCTACCCGAGGGTGCTGATAATTGGTGATATCCCCTTCTAAACAACCCATATTTTCTACCGCGGCGTGGCAAGGTTTCTTGTGTGTTATAGGGGATTGGAATTCATTAAGAAAAATACACTGAATATAAATATTAACTATATTTGAATGCCAACAAAGAAAACGGTAACATCATATCAATTCTGAAAACATCCACTATACAACTTGCCTCCAATCACTGTCCCACATACGATCATGATATTTATGTGAATAAAATATGACATTGGCAGTGTGACGTTAAATATCCGCGAGCTTTAGTTACTCGCGAATCTCTCGGATATTTCTAGCACGCGTAAAAAATTGGTTTACAGTTACTTTTACATCTATGCATGAGAAGAAAAATGTCACTAATATAATAATCAATTCATGTTTTAGAAATGCAGACAAAAAATATCACCAAAATTGTATCAGAAAATGATGTATTAGAGTGTTCCCTTACGGGAGCTTACCATCCACTGAGTTTTACCTGGCAGCACTTGATTGGACCAGATGAAACCATTGTGAGAAATTTCACAACGTCACTGGTCAGACTCCGAAACGTATCATATAAAGACGTGGGGGTGTACAACTGTACGGTTCAATACAAGCTCTGTGGAACATTAAACCAACAGATGACATCAAGTGGCTCCATTGTCTTCAACGTCAAAGGTAGGAACAACTGTGAACCACCTTTCCTTCGCGTTGATAACTTTCTAGGTTTTCGGGTATCCCAAAAATGTTTTGGTGAACGAGTTTAGAGCTGGTTTTTCAATTTATTAATATATGCATTCTCTGTATAAAGTTTTGTCATTGCGTTCAAATGCATTATTAATTCGGATTAAATTTAAAAAAAAGAATGTGAATTTTCAGACTTACTAATTTTTCATTTTTACAGGACCACCGTTCATAGAGACTTCTATAGGCACTCTTACTCTAAAACCAGGACAAAACATAACAGTAACCTTAAAAATTATATCATTTCCAGCACCTTATGACCAAGTGATCATCAGAAGTCAAGGCAACAATTACGTTAATAATACTGTAAATTACCAAAATACATTAGTGCCACTGAAAGCTTATGGAAAGACAATTGAAGTGGAGGGATATATGGCGCGCCTTACAATGCTGAATATTTCAGAAATGTGGTTTGGAACAAATACCATTATCGTGTCTAATAGCTTTGGAAATCATTCGACCAGTTTCATTATACAGCATTCCTCAGAAAATCATATCTATAATTTCATAGGTATACTACATTAACATATATAGCGACAAATCTCATGTAAAATTAATATCGATCACGGATGTCTGCAACTGATAAATCTACGGGGGGGGGGGGGGGGGGGGAATCAAATCTTAACATAAAGAAACAAAATATTGCGATTAATTGCAAAAGGAGAGGTTTTGGAATTTTGTTGTTGTTTGGGGAATATTAAACGCTTGGGCTTTGGGATTTTGATATAGTTGGGAAATTATCAGGATAGTCTATTTCTCTCTCTTTTTAGCTCACATGAGCTCAAGTTAGCTTTTCTGATCAAAGAGTGTCCGGCGTCCGTCTGTCGTCTGTAAACTTTTCACATTTTCGACTTCATCTCAACAACCAATGGGCCAATTTCAACCAAACTTGCCACAAAGCATCCTTGGGTGAAGGGGAGTCAAGTTTGTTCACAGACAGTGCCTCGAGATATTTAAGAATTCTTGAAAATTTGTTGGCATCTTTTAAAAATCTTCTCAACCACCACTGGGCAAGAAAAGATGAAATTACATACTCTAGATTCAAATTTGTTCATATCAACACCCCCGGGGGTAGGGCGGGGCCACAAGAGGGGTTAAAAGTACCATAGGAATATATAGGAAATATCTTCTTCTCAAGAACAGCTAAGCCATAATTAGACATATTATTACAGAAGTGTATTTTTCCTCTACAGTATTTATTGATATTCTTATTATTTGAATCTTTATTTTTAAAAAATTGCTTCATAGACTTCAATGCAATCTTTGTTAAGTACTTACTGCATAGTTAATAACAGTTTTTCTACTTTCTCTTTGTAAGTTCTTTCCTAGTGTAAAATGCTTTTTAAGTTAATATCAGAGTATTATGTATGTAACATTTAAGAATAGAGGATGGAAACCCTTAAGGGTAATAAAAAGTTATATTAACACCAGTGGCAAGTATCACAGGGAATTATGTTAAGCTCTGGGTGTAGAAAATCTTAAAAAGATTGAGGAGATAGCTGGTTGTTATCTATCAATGGCAATGGGAACCTAGGAGAGAAACACGGTGCAAGTAGTACCTTACCCAGTCCCCACCTCTAGATAAGAGAAAATTTAATTACTGTACTGTGTGATATACCCTCAGACAGAGATGTCTTAATAATCATTCCAATCATTAACTCAGAAAGAGTAAAAGAAAATCTATATATCCTTTGTAAGAGCCTGATTATACACCTTACATAGGAAACATTGAAAGTTGTTCTTCTCAAGAACAACTAAGCCGTTATTAGTCATATTAATACAGAAGCAACCTTAGGTATTGTAGAATCAAGTTTGTTCAAATTATGACCCTCCAGAGGTTGGGGGTACAACAGAAGTTTTGCATAAGAATATATAGGAATCATCTTGATAAAAATCAACAGCAAAGCCATGTTTATTAGTCATGTTATTTTAGAAGCATCCTCAGGTAGGGTAGATTCAAATTTGTTCAAAATTTAAGGAGGGTAGGGTGGGGTCACAATGAGCAATTAGAGTTTTACATAGGAATACATAGGAGGAAAAATCTTTGAAATTCTTCTGTTTAAGAACAAAAAATAAAGCCATGATTAATACTATTGATATAGAAGCATCCTGAGGTAGTATAAATTTAAGTTTAAACCTCCCCCTCACCTAAAACTTTTCTATACTGAACTGATTTCTGCTTCTTCCTAGCAAGTGTGCTAAGGTGGGCGATGTGGCCCACGGGCCTCTTGTTTAAATAAACAATTTTCTGATATTTAAAGTGGGTCAGTTTTTTTTAAAAAGAGGGCGGGGACCTCATAATTGTGAAAGGCAGTTGTCTTTTATATAAAAACGTAATCATTTTCAAATGCACCTCCTCACTTCCCCCAAAAAACATACACTAGGACTGTCTGGCAGAAAACCATTTTCTTTAAACTTTTTTCATATCCTCCTAAAACTTCAGCAAGACTAGTGTAAAAAAAAAATCAAGCGCAGAACCTAATCACCCCTTCTTACATATTGTTATTTCTCTAATATTTGTCTCCAATGTCATATACATTAGGGTATATTCTAAGTATTGAATACCTTGATTTTGCTAAAAAAAAAAAAAAGATCTTTGTAAGAGAAAAATAGGTTAATGAAATCAAATCATTTGAGTGACGTTATTGTTATGACTATAAAGTCTGTGTTTTATTTTTTTGCCTCTGTGTGTGTGTGTGTGAGTGTGTGTGTGTGTGTGTGTGTGTGTGTGTGTGCGAATAGGTAGGTAGGTATTTAAAAGATGGGTTGACCGTAGACAGAGAAAAAAACTTGGAATGGCCTTTTGAAAAAAATCGTTGACTTAATAAAAATAATTTTCATGTCCATTAAAGTGGAATTATTTTTCAAATAAAGAAATAAATAAATTCAAATTTATAAACAAAACGACAAAAAGTGTGTCTTATTTCAATCACTTTATCGACTCAATATTATAACTCATTAGGTTTGTTAGTGACCGTCAGACTTTCTACGTAAACATTTCAGTCTGAGGGAACTTTTTTTCTTATGTATCTTTTAGTTAAAGTTCTGAAGGAAAATATGTATCTTCTGGCTGGAATTGGAGGAGGGATTCTCGTTTTGTTCATCATCGTATTGGTTATTACTTGCAAGAAGAAAAGTAAGTCTGACCTTTGATTCTATTTCTAATAACTATAATATGATAAAGATTTGTATTCAAAGACATAAACATGTGCAACATGTTTTTATTTCAGAAGGAAAAACTAACCTTTCATTAAACAGCGATACGTGAGTATTCTAGAAAGTAGCATTTTAATTGAAATAATCAATGAATGGCTGATCCCCTCTTAAAAAGTATACAAACATTTTTTTTTAGGTTTGTTTGTTTGTTATTTAGCATCCCTTTCGAGAATGTTTCACTCATATGGAGACGCCACCATTTGCCGGTGGAAAACTGCAAATTTTGAATTTACTCGGCACTCAAGGCCATTGAGCAGTGAGGGATCTTTTTCGTGCAAGCATCTACTGCGACACGGGACCTCGGTTTATGCGATCTCATCCAAAGGACCGGTCTCCACGTCCCACAGTGGGATTCGAACCCGCGACGTAAGGATCAACTCCTTACTCTGCGACTCTAGCACGCGGGCGACAATATACAAACATGTATATGAGATCAAATTAGGCCAGTTTTAGGTAATGCAGACCAAGGAGGAAATATTCCTTTTCGGAGAAGTTGGTTTTGTTTTGTTCTACATACCATGTGAGAATTAGACATCACCAGCTTTAGGCAAAGTTCCACATATTTTGACCTATGCACGGATCTTAAGGTCTAAGATGAGAGGGTTCTTCATTGTGCCAGCGCCTACTGCAATACGGGGCCTACGTTGTTAAGATCATATTCAATTATTAGACGTCTAAAGAACAAGGTACGGTTTCCATACAAATCTTGCCCGCTGTTTTTTCTTAAAAATGAAAGTGGTGTAAAAAATTTAAATTCATGCTTTCTGAATCATTGAAATTCCATGCAGAAAGATCATACAAATTATTTTTCTCACATGACCTTCTAAATGCTAATTGTGACGTCATAAACTTGAGCATTTTCCTGTAAATTCTTAAAACGTTGCAAAAGACACCAATTTTCAATGGAATTTTCTTTCAGATAATATTGTCCACAGGCATCGCCCACAAAGATTTTGAGATATGTGATTTTTTGTAGAATTTTACACAACATATCTGAAAATTAAGGTAGGCAACGGCTGTGGACACTATTTTCTTAAGGAAAATAACCCTTCAAATGGGTCATTTTGAGGCTCTTTCTGTTTAAAATAGAGAAATACTTTAAAAATTAATGACCTCATATTTCCAGAATGGTACTCCTCCATGCCATATTCTTTCCTGATTTATCAGTCATATACTCAACTAATATTTGAGCCAGTTTCAAAACTGTTTGAAAACATTAAATTTTAAGGGCACAATAAAGCTAAAACTGTACCTTCTTCTTTGTTGCGGCACTAGATGCGTGATTTGAGCAAGCGTCCTAACCATTGTCCTAACCTGGCTATAGTGATCGGTGCTACCTATTATAATTTCCTTGGTACACAAATGAAAAGATCTAAAATGTCTGATTTGAATTTATCCCTTCTAAGTGTGTTCTTCTAGATAAGTTTCTATTCGATTTAATTTGTTCAATATTTTTATATATCTTCTGGATACTTTTGTTTTAGTAAGCATTACGAAGAATCGGGAGTTGCAACAGTAGGTGAACGGATGTATTCAAGACCCTTTTCGTTGAGCAATACGAAAAAAGAAGAAGGTAATTATTGAAACTCTGTACATTTCATATCGTCGTGCTGTGGAATAAGTTGACAATGATGATGATACTGATCCTAATTTGTGAAGTCTGAAGTAAACATGTTTGCTGTGGCTTAATGGTAAAACTTAATCTGTATCTTAACTTAAACATCGGTTAGTATAAAATGATTTACCATTATCAGGGTTTGTCTGTGGTCAGACTAATGATTTTTTAATTGCTTTGTGACCCTATTTTTATGATTTTTTTCCCCAGTCAAAATACAAGAGCCCAGATTTGACTTAGAATATCGTTCATATTTATTTAGCAAAAAAGGTCAGTTGATTGGTTAGTTTTTGTATTTCTGCGAAAAATGTTTTGCTTTATCCACAGCTAGACATCATACTGTATATGAAATGCCGGCCTTTACTTAAATTTTGTTTAAGGCTTAAGGTTATTTTATCATGTCGATGTCAAAATTATTGTGGCGAAAATTTAAGTACAGTGTACTAAGGACCCATTTTTGATGCCTCGCAAACATCAATTGGTTATGATAGGCCACAGAAAATTAACAATAAGGAAATACGCTTCTCGAATTGAATTTTATCATATTTATACCATATTAATTAATGTAATCGAATTCATAATCTATAGGGAAATGACATAGGATCTTCATATAAAGCACTTCATTCATTCTTCGAACAACTTGTTTTTTCTATATTTTTCGAATTTCAAAAAGGTCAACCAAACATTAAATAGCCTCGTTGTGACGATGCCATGCATACGAAGTAGAATTGCGATCGTTTATATTCCTTTTTAAGACGCAAAATAGATAGTTACTTGTATTAGAAATGCTTTGGTGTGTTGGATGGGATATTTTACAGCTTACACCGTGTAAAATATGAGTCAATCTAGGAAGTGAATGTTAGATATGGTTTAAGACAAACCGCTTTTGTTTCAACACATGTGAGGTCTAAAAAGATTTAAACTTTAAATTGCGTATAAAGTGCAGATATCTTTATTGAAAAGAAATATTTTAATGTTATGTGCACTTATTGGAAAAAGGAAAAGAAAACCATATGACACGTGTATGCAATAAAAGATGTTGCTAATAAAGTTAATAGCCATTCAATGACGACCACCAAGAAATTTTGTGAATTAACAGAGACACCCATCTTACTGCAAAAATGGAAGGTTTGTTAGCAACATTTTTACTTCAATTTAGCTTAATGGAATGTAAAACAAAAATGCACTAGTAGATACATGTCTTTCTCAGTATCTTGTATGCAATCTCTAGAGTCGGACATGGAATGCTCAATTTAAGAAAGACCAATAACTATATACATGTAAAGCATAGCACTGTGCACTAAAATGTCAATTAAGGGTAATGAAAGCAGAGTTTCAATGAGGAGCATAATAATACTAAATTTTACCTTCCTTATTTACAGGGAAACAGAAGTTGCCAAGGGCACTTATTTTTATGCATGCATCAATATTCCTTGTACCATCTTAACTCTGGTTGTAATTGGATAATCAAAATTTCATTTTTTTTGTCATAGGAAAGGGATACTTCAATCATTGTTAAGCAAGATAATACAATGCATAATGAGGTGAAAGAGAACAATTAACAAATACAATACAAGGAACATTTTCTGTTAGCTACTTCAGCACGAGAAATATCAGCACCTATAATCATTATCACAAGTATCAGCCAAGAAAACATCGTTATTGCCAGCAGGATAACTAGAAGTACTAGCACATGCATTATTAACATTCAATTCAGTGGGAACCCCCTTTTTTTTTTTTTTTTTTTTTTTTTTACAAAGAATTTGTACTGAAAGAAGCTCGACCCCCCTTCCCCACGGAATAGGATTTTCGGGTTTTGACAATTTTCTTTTTTGTTCTTCTTTTTTTTTGGTTGTCAAGTTGTTTTCAGGTTTGGAATTTTTTTTCTCTTACAATTAGTCCTCCCCCCACTTTCCATGTGCTTCCGACGCCTATGTTAGACAAATTATTTCAGCACAATCTTGTATTTTGCTAACAACTGTTTGAAAACGATAAGTCTGTTCTTAATTTAAGTATATAGGAGATATACGTAGAAACCATTCGCAATTGTTTAGAAAATAAATGCTGCATCTGCCTCTTGTTGCTTACTGGCATCGATGCTTTCTTCGTTAGCATTGGTACATTTAAATCGGCATTGGGTAAAACTTGTTAATTAGGAATCATAGGATCCTTATACATGTACTTTAGTTTCTTAAAACCGAGACTCTTATATCTAATTTAAAAAAAGTTGAAATATCAGGGATAGGGAACAAACATAGCTTCCTTATAAAAAAAAATTTCCATCTATCCAAGTTCCTTACAAGCAGGTTTTATTGTATTAGTTTCAAAATTTAGTTGTAAAAATTTCAAAATTTTAAGCAAGTAATCAGCAAGCTTAATGAATTATTGAAATCATCACTAAAGAAATGAGCAATAATTGTGAAATATGAAAGATTTATGTACATTTAGAATGTTGGCAATGATAACTAAACGACTTGCAATTTACTAAGAGAAGAATGCACTAACTTGGAATAAGCCGGGCAGTAATTAAATACCTTCTCCAAAACATTTATTTACAAGGAAACTGAATATTATTCAGAATATTAAGCGAATTCACCCAATTTTGAGGATCTCAATTGGACATTGCACATTCTGACCAGGATGAATTTGATATAAAATATCTGGAACATGATTGGCGTTCAAGTATTTGATAATGAAGAACTTCCTACAAAGGGTCTAAAATAAGTGAGCTTATTCGTAGCTGTTAGGTGAAGAATGATGATGCTGAATATTTTGATTTTTAAAAAATGTTTAATAAGTCAATGAATAAAGGTTTCATTTGTACTGAATTATTTAAAGTTCTTCAATTACTGTTTGCATCATAACAATGGATACTTTTAAATTTTGAATACATTTTATAGGTGTGCATTTTCTACGCACAATAAGTTAAACCGGGAAGAGAAACCTTTGAAATACAAGTATCCTTTACACGATTCTGCTCATTTTCTCGCTATGATAGGCCACAGATTTTTTTTAAATGTCCCTATTCCATAGTAAAGAATAACTTTTGTCTTTGAAGAAATAGAACACGAGGGTAGAGGGCTATGAACTTTCCTCAGTAGCTCCCATAAGAATTTCATATTGTATACATCGTAAATATGTAGTTGAAATGTGCTTTTCAAAAATCTAAATCATTCAAAAGCGTTTCAGCTAAATTATACAAAAAATTACACAAATTATGTTTTAAGTGTTGTATTTAGGATTTAACCACAGATGGATAGTTGTTTTCATAATACTTCGCAGATTCTACAAAATAGGGATCTGAAATCAAGTAAAGAGTTTAATAACTAATATTTGACATGATCTTTATTCTACCAGACCATTACAATTATATAATAGAACAAACATATTTAATAAGTACCTCCATCCCTGTTCCACCATACCCTACTGGTAAAAATTAGAATCAAGTCAAGCAAATACTCTCGGTTGTTTGTTCAAAGTTAGAATCTCTTAACAATGGTAAAACGTGGATGTTTAAGATCATTGTTTTCATATTTTAGATGTTCAGAAATTGACTGTTCGAGAAGAGCCCATAGAACTGGAACAAAGACAGTGTGCCAGGTAAGGCATTTTATACCGAAACTGACATACATGTACATGTAGGAATTGTTTTATCCTTATCGCAATCATATTGCTGTATTTCCATCTCTAAATACATATATCCTCTTTACTTTTGTAGTATGTTCAGTTGTGATGGATTTGACGCGGATGAGTTTCAGATGGATAAAATATTGTATGATAACCACTTTGCTCCAGGATACAAATAATAAAAAATATATATGTTCAAAATTTTATGATGGCTTCACATCGGAAATGTATATTTCATGCTTATATAATAAAATTGAAATCTTATGAAAATAAACATATAATCTGAATGATGTATAAATGTAATAATTTATACAGGATTCTTATAATTGAAAATGTGCAATAATTCCTGCATATAATGTACATGTAAAAGGAAACATGACTTATTGTATTTCTCCCATTTCTAAGAAATTTTATTTAATAAATGTTATTTGAAATACAGACGTTTGATTCTTTTAAATACATACATTTATTTCTTTTTTTCTTCTGAATGAAATACTGCGAACACTGATTGAAAGAAAATGAAGGCAATTTAATGCAGATAATTGTCAGAGGCATTCTTGCTGGCATTCTTTCTCCTAAAAAATTCGATTAAGTTCGTGTAAACATCTTAAAAGACCTTTAGTCAGGGAGCTGGAAAAAATAGTTCGAGGAACTGGTGAATAACAAATATCCACATTCCATTTTTTCCATTTTGACCGATAAAGATGAACAACAGATATTTAGCAATTAGCAATCTCCTATCAGAGACAATAAGTGACTAGCTCGTTTTTTTTTTTTGGGGGGGGGGGGGGTTGTATGTATTATAATAATACAATTTTTAGCCAAAAAAGATCTGCTATTGGAATTATGAGAGAAGCCATGAATAGAGACTTTTTTAAAAAAGGGAGGGTTAAAAGCTCAGTCTTTGTTGCTAACTTGTTTTGCTAACTCACATTCTCTTCTAATGGATATTTCTTCAGATTTCTATGTCTGCAACATACTCTATAACATACCAAACACAAGAGACAAAGCTCTGAATGTCACTTGTATATTGAATCTGACCTAATGCGTACTTACTTCCTGCTAAAGCATGAAGCGTTGCTTAAGTATATGTAATACTTGTTACCACATTCGTATCTAATTTGATATACTTTCTTGTTGATACTTCTTTTATATTCGTTTCCATTCGTACAAAAGTGATTTTACGAAAGTTTTCCAAATGAAGTCTGAATATAAAGAACAGTTATCATTCTCAAAATTCCAAATAAATAATACAAATTATGAGCAGAGCCAACACGAACCCCTGAAAAAAGAGGTGGGATCAGGTGCCATGGAAGAGTAAGCATCTCCTGCCGACCGGCCAAACCCGCCGAGTGCTCTCTGCCATGCATGCTCGGGTAAACGGAAAATCCGTTGACAATTCAGTGTGTGAATAAAGACAAAACAATTTGTATGAAAAACGTCAGTCAACAAGAGTCCTATCAACAGATTGTATTTGAAAACATCCTTGTATCATCAACACATTTGCCTATAGCCGGCCTTTTTTTTAAAAAAAAAATGGAAATCTTTCTTTCGTAGAACCTGCTCTTGCATATCAAATCAACTGGTAGACATAAACTCGATATGCTAGTGATAATGGTATATTGCTATATAAGAGTAAGGGAAGTTGATGATTGAAAAATTGAAGTCATCACGTATATTATAAAATTAAGTTGCCAGTTTGCCCTCAATGTCAGTAAAACATACAAATATGAATAGATTTTTCAGACTTTTTAGCTCACCTGAGCTGAAAGCTCAAGTGAGCTTTTCTGATCACATTTTGTCTGTAGTCCGTCCGTCTATAAACTTCTCACATTTTCGACTTTTTTCCAGAACCACTGGGCCAATTTCAAACAAACTTGCAACAAAGCATCCTTTTGTAAAGGGAGTTCAAGTTTGTTCAAATGAAAGGCTACGCCCTCTTCCAAGGGGGGATAATTAAGAATTGGTAAAAATTTGGTGTAATCTTTTAAAAATCTTCTCATCAAGAACCATTGGGCAAGAAAAGTTGAAACTTATGTGAAACCTTCATTACATAGTGTAGATTCAAGTTTGTTCAAATCATGACCCCCGGGTGTAGGGTGGGACCACAATGGGGGATCAAAGTTTTACATAGGAATGTATAGAAAAAAAAATTAAAAATCTTCTTCTCAAAAACAACAGCCACAATTAGTCATATTGAGATGGAATCATCCTCAGCTAGTGTTGATTCAAGTTTGTTCAAATCATGACCCCCGGGGGTAATGTGGGGCTACAATGAACGTTGAAGTTTTACATAGAAATATATAGGAAAAATCTTTTAAAAATCTTCCCAAGAAGAACAAAGCGACAATTAGTCATATAGATATGGAATCATCCTCAGGTAGTGTAGATTCCAGTTTGTTCAAATCATGAACCCCGGGGGTAGGGTCGGGCCATAATGGGGAATTTAAGTTTTACATAGGAATATATAGAAAAAATCTTTTAAAATCTTCTTCTCAAGAACAACAAAGCTACGATTATTCATATTGAATATGGAATCATCCTCAGGTAGTGTAGATTCAAGTTTTTTTTTTAAATCATGACCCCTGGGGGTAGGTTGGGGCCACAATGGGGGACCAAAGTTTTACATAGGAATATATAGGAAAAATCTTGTAAAATCTTTTCAGGAACAGGAAAGCCATGATCAGTCATACTGATATGGAAGCATCCCTAGGTATTGTAGATTCAAGTTTGTTCAACGCATTCTCAAGTAGTAGGGTAGGGCAGTAATGGGGGATCAAAGTTTTACAAAAGAACATATATAGGAAATATCTTTAAAAATCTTCTTCTCAAGAACAACAAAGCCATTATGAGTCATATTGATATGGACGCATCCTCAGGTAGTGTAGATTCAAGTTTGTTCAAATCATGACAGGCGATCAAAGCATTACATATGAATATATAGAAGAAATCTGCTGACGAAGAACAACAGGGCCATATTGACTCAGGTGAGGGTTGTGGCCCATGGGCCTCTTGTTGATGTCTTCATATTCAACTTAGGAAAGGAGATAGATGTTGTTAATTGATAAAACATCCTCGATATATACCAAACGTATAACGTTAAATGTCAAAATTGAAGGATACAGCGAGAGAATTGTTCTTTTCATGTAGAGGTTTTTGAACAAGATATACAAATAAACGTCTTCAATTTTTACTGGAGAAGCAGTTGTCTATATATGTTATAAAGTCTGGTCTTTAATTTATTTGGGGAATAGATGTATGAAAATGAGAAAAGGCGAAGATAACAAACAGTGATCGATCTCAAAAAAAATCTACAAACAATACATATCTGTGAGCAAGACATAAAACCACGACCCCCGAAAATTCCAGAGGTGGTATCAGGCGCCTAGGAGGAGTTAGCATCCCCTGTTGACTCGTCACACCCACCGTGAGCCTTATGTAACGAGCATAGAATTTGCAAAATGCTAATTTCAAACGAGATTGTTGAAATTCTTTAACATCAACCTATTTGTCAGTAGTCTGCCTCAGATTAAAAAATGACAGTACTCAGAGCATGCTTTTGAGTATGGAATCATTAGGGAGACGGAAAAACCATATGCAGGTGATGGAGGGATATTACTACATAAATAAGTAAAGTGGACGATGGAAATGCTGAAGTCATCTCGTTTTTTCATCTAGTTTTGTTGTTAGTTAGCCCTTATCGTTTAGAATCAGTAAAACATCCAAATATGGAACAGATGTGACAGACTCTTTGGTGTTTTTTATTTCCAGATTACTGGGGATATAACGAGTCAAATCAACTTATTTGTAAGTAGCCTGCTTCATTCTAGAAATTGATCATACATGTACATAGAACTTACCCTTGAGTATCGAATGAACAGGGAGGCGTAAACTCTATATCAGACCTCTTATGGAAACTTATTAAGTCGCCATGGTGCCTAGGATTTCCAGTTGGCGAATAGATTCTAACACTTCCTTAACTATTCTAAATTTTTAACAAAATCTATATCATTTATAAACTAATGTTTTGCCAGTCACTTTTGTGCTTTTTATTTCGAGTTTAATGGGGCATATCGAATCAACGCAGGACTGGAAATAAATATTGCTAATTGATAAAACGTCCCGGATATATCTGAATGTAGAATTGAAGGTAACAGCAAGAGACTTCTTTTCATGATGAAGTTTTTAAAATGAATTTTGATTCATAAGAAAACAATAACAAGTCTGCTAAAGACGGGGCATAAATAGTACCCATGAGAATTCCAACAGATTGAAGCAAACTTGGTTTCTAAATATTACAGTCGTTTAGCCATTTCCGAATAAGGTACCGATTTGACGGTGCTATAAATATACGCAGGCGTTCTTTGAAATCTAACTTGTTCGTCAAAATAGTCAATATACCTCTGGTTTTAAATGTACCGTATTTCCAATTCGAAAAGACCTTTGACTGTCAAAATTCGTAACTGGCCAAACGACTGTACGTGTTGTCAATCAGAAACTCAAGCATCCTTTTGATAGCAACTTTTGAGTATTTGTGTGTAACATATTAAGAATAAGTTTGCAGATGAACAATGACAAGGTACATGAATGTTATTCACATGTTCCATTTTTATTAAAGAAACAGTTGTCTTTGATGTCAAAGAGCCTAATCTTTACTTTTTCGCGAGGAATGGTTGTGTAGTGTTGAAAAGTCATACGTTTTAATGCTACTGATTTTGGTAAACAATTGCGTGACTTCAAACTTCCTAAAAGTTCCTTAGAGTTTTTGACTTCATTCATATGCAATTTCCAATCAATCGTTCTTATTTCTACACAGAAAACAAAATGGATATTGGATGATGATTCTCAAATGATAAATGCAGGATATTCAAACTTTTTATTTTCAAAATGTCATAATTAAAGACACTTTTGTTATTTAAAAAAAATAATTTGAATCGTTTGAATTTTTTGTTTTCAGTGTTTTTTTTAATTTCGTAAAAATCATTGATCAATGAAATGTTTTGAAAGATTCCTGAGAAGATGATTTAAATGATTTCTACTATGTATTCCAATATTAAACTATGATCACCATCCTATACCCAGAGGTCATGATTTGAACAAATTTGAATCTACACTACCTGAGGATGCTTCCATATAAACATGACTAATCACTGCTTTGCTGTTCTTGCGAAGAAGATTTTTAAAGATTCTTCAAATGTATGCTTATGTTAAACTTTAATCGGTCATTGTGGCCAAACCCTACCCCTGGGAGTCAGTATTTGAACAAACTTTCATCTACACTACATGAGGATGCTTCCTTATAAATTTGACTAATCATGGCTTTGCTGTTCTTGAGAAAATTTAAAAGAATTTGTCTTATGTATTCCTATGTAAAACTTTTATCGGTGATTGTGGCACCGCTTTACCCAGCGGACTTGATTTAGACCAACTTGAGTCTACACTACCAGAGGATGCTTTCATATTAAGATGATTAATCTTGACTTTGCTGTTCTTGAGAGGAAGATTTTTTTTTCTATCTATTTCAATGTTAAATGATCGGTCATTGTGACCACACCCTATCCCTGGAAGTCAGTATTTGAACAAATTTCTTAAATCTACACTACCTGAGGATGTTCCAACTAAATAACACCAAACATGACTTTGCTGTTCTTGAGAAGATTTTTCTTATGTATTCCTATGTTAAACTTTTATCGGTCATTGTGGCCCCACCCTACTCCTGGGGGTCATGATATGAACAAATTTTAATCTGCATTACCGAGAATACTTCCATATATATATGACCAACCATGGTTTTGCTGTCTTTAAGAAAAAAGATTTTTAAAGATTCCCCCCTGTTTTCCTTTGTAAAACTTTAATTACCCATTGTGCCTCCCCCCCCCCCCCACCGCCGAGGGTCAAAATGTGAACAAATTTGAATCTGCACTACCTGAGGATGATTCCACATAAGTTTTATATTTTCCAGTGGTTCTTAGGTAGAAGATTTTCAAAGATGCCATTATTTTTTCCATAATTCCCTTGGAAGAAGGCGTGGCCCTCCATTTGAACAAACTTGAATCCATCCCTTTTAACCAAGGATACGTTGTGGCATGTTTGAAAATGACCCAGCGGTAAAGGTTGAAATTGGCCCCATGGTTCTTGAGAAGTCGAAAATGTGAGAAGTTTACAGAGACAGACGCCGGACAGAATGTGATCAGAAATACTCACTTGAGCCTTTGGCTCAGGTGAGCTAAAAAGGGATCAAAATTTTATTGATTATTTCCATTGACCAGATACATGAACATAACAATGCATATATCAATTAAGTATGGATATAACGAACAATAGTCAATTCAAATAATACTTATTAGGAACAGAGCAAACACGAACCTCTAAAACATCAAAGGTGGGATCAGGTGCCATGGAGGAGTGAGCACCTCTGCTGACCGGTCAAACCCGCCTGTGCTCCTTGTCATGATCGGGAAAAAAGGAAAAATATGTAGACAATTCAGTGTGTAAATAATGGCCTTGCGATTAGTATGAAAACGGCAGTAACCATTTGGCTTAATGATAGATTGTATTTATAGACTGAACTTGCAAAATGATGACTTAAAACGAGACTGTTGATAGACTGTTCTTGTTTCATCTCTTTGTTTGTCAGTAGCTTGCCTCGTTTTAGAAATTGTTTGTACGTAGGGCATGCTCTTGCGTATCGAATCAACTGGGAGACATAAACCCCATATACCGGTGATATTGGTATATTGCTACATAAGTAAGAGAAGTTGACGATTGAAAAGTTGAAATCATTACGTTTATCATAAAGCTTGGTTGTTAGGTTACCATTAACGTCCTTTTCAAGTAAAATATCCAAATATGAAAAATATGTTTCAGACTCTGTGGTATCCTTTATTTCAAGCTCACTGGGATATATCGAGTCGTCATATGAATTTCATCGTGATCACAATAGTGAATCAAAGTTTTCATAGTAATGACTATCGTGTAATAGTGATCACTATAGTTAATCAAAGATTTCATAGTGATCACTATAGTTAATCAAAGATTTCATAGTTATTTTATAGTAAATCAAAGATTTCATAGTTATTTTATAGTAAGTCAAAGATTTCTTAGTTATCACTATCATAATTAATGAACATATGATAATTAATTTAAAGCATTAAATATTTGTTTTATAATAACTCTAAAATTGTTTTTTAGATTTTTATAAACCATGATAGTATGTAAAATTATTGAAAGATTTAGTAAAAATCAACCATAACCGGCAATTTCCGGCGGATATTTTGTGAAATGACTGTCATGACCGGTTCTGCGATGGCCCAATATCCATATTTCTTTATAAAATGAATCTTTATATTCATGCAAAAATGGCGCTTTTAACAAAAATTGCACAATATGTTACCTAGCTGTGACGCAGTGCTATAATAAAAATTCTCTAAACTCAACATAAAACAGACTAATGTAATGGTCTAGTTTTCCCCCCATATCTTTGAAATACTGTTAAAAGAACTTGAAAGATTGACATATTACATATTTAGGGTATATTGTAGATTCTAAAAGGTATTTTCAGTAGCTCAAAAGATACACTGTTCACTTTTACGTACTAACATCGTTTGAAAGAAAAGTCGAAACAATTTTGACCTCCACAGAACATTTGGGTAAATGTATTTCACTTATACATCAAGTTAAAATAATCACGATGTTAAATGTGCACATTTATAAGTGTAGTCTTCCCCTGAACGACACATTTCCTTCCACTCTCAGTTTCTTTACACTGTATATGCTTTTGTATGTGGGATTGATCATTTGTTTACTCAGATTTCTGTTTTATCTAGACAACACTTAAAAATCAACGTATAACATACAAAACAAAATGTATGTTTGTACATCGAAAACGAAGAGTTTAAGCTTAACCATTTTCTTACAATGCCTTCTATTTGACAGTAAGTACCTAATTAAGTAATTAGTTATAAAAATTTATCTTTCAGATATATTTATGGATTTTTTGGTTGCTTTTACAGTAAAAATTTAAAATAATATTCAAACATGTGAGTGACATATGCGTGCAATATACATTCTATAGTTTCAATGTCTCAAGATTTCTCGGGTAGTGATGATGTTGATATCTCGATTAAACGTTGCACACTTTACGTAAACTGGACCACAGAGAATACAGATGGATGTAGTTTGTTTATTTATCGAGTACAACTGTACCGGAATGAAACAGAGATAGCAACTCTAGATACCAAAGCCTTGAGGTATTCAAAAGATGGTATAGATTCGGAGTCTGTATTTCGGGTCGAAATTACACCAGTGCTTCGCTGTGGGAACAATTCTGATCTTTATAGAAGAAAAAGGGTTAAGTCTATTAGAACAATTCCAGGTAATATATTTCCTTTTATTAGATAGAATATCGTAATGTAAAATATATTTTTTATTATTTCTAGCTTTCATTATCTCTTTTTTTTTAAATCAACGCAGATATAACATTGGGATAAAAAATTTCCATACTAAAACTATACAAAGAATTCTATTCATTATTAATATTTAAAATATCTATAAGTAAATAATTAACTAATTATTCAGGTAAACAGAGGGTCTATATCACCAAAAATATATCCGAAAATGTGACATTAGAATGTCCTTTAAATGGAGCATACCAGCCTTTTAATGTTAAGTGGCAGCACGTGATTGGAATAAATAGAACAGTTGTTAGGACCTTCACAACACAGATGCTCAACCTTCAAAGTTTGTCATACAGAGACATGGGACGGTATATATGTACTGTAGAATATAGTTTTTGTGGAACATCCAGATCACTGAGAAAAACAGAGAGTTCGGTTACCTGCAGCATAAATGGTAAAAATAATATATTTATGCATTCAATTTTTATACAATTTTTCAGACTCGTTTGACATTTGAAGATTGAAATTACTATAATAGAATTTTGAATTCTTTCCTATGAAATTTTTTTACAGGTCCACCATTTATATCTTCATCTCAAGATACTTTCATTGTAAATCCTGGACAAAATTTAACTTTAGAGCTAAAAGTTATATCATTTCCACCACCAAATAGCCAAGTAGTTATTAAAAATATACGCGGATATGACATTTTTCGAGAACTGGTGTCCTTCAAAACAGAATCAACGCCACTGCAAGCCTACGGAAAGACTGTCGAAGTTGAAGGGTATAACACGAGGTTTTATTTGCTGAACATTTCAGTAGACTGGTTTGGAGCAAACAACATTATCGTATTTAATAGATTTGGAAACTATTCAATTAGAATATTTCTTCAGAATTTCTCAGAAAAAGAAAAGAATTTCATCGGTAAGATTTGGTGATTTTTGAAGAAACGATTGTAATGTGTCCTTTTAAAAGTCGACTGTTGACAGACGTCTTTCATGACAGTGAGCGCACGTCAGTGTGACCGATAGACAGGAGATCCTTACTTCTCCAAGGCACCTGACTCCACCTCTGCTGTTTTACATTGTAAGAGGTCCGTTTTACTCTGATCATAAACTGTATTGTTTCTACTGTAACGAATTCTATTGAAGCGTTAAAAAAGAAGGTCAAAGGCTGATTTTTTATTGGGGGGGGGGGGTCAAACATTATATTTTAGAGAAAATTTTATGATATAGTAGTTGAAATATTTTAGGGAAATTTGAATATTTAAAACATTTACCTCACCTCGTTACAAATATAATTTAATTTGATACGATTCTAATTTTTACAAGTATGTCAAAAACTGAAACGGCCTTACCAGTAGTGGCCCACTCACTTATTGCTGATATTTACAAAGAAGTGAGGGAAAGTAACCCTTTTAACCGCCACAATATTTAATTCTGACAGTTATGATAATTTTCTGACGAAGGATAGAGATAATATGAATTTTGAGCAAATAAATTATGGCGTTTGTAATGCGGGTCAAAATATGAGACTTTTAAAATAGATTCTTTTTAATTTCATTTTTTGAATCAAAGCCCTCTTTAAAATTGTGCTTGATATTAAACAAATGTTGGGGACTTGATATTGAAACAATTTTATGGGGACTTGCGATTAAAGTGTCAAAACAACGAGGAGAAAGCTCTGGCATGTAGGATGGAAATTTTGCATCATTGAAAACCCTGGAAACCCTTTTTTAATTTTTTTAACTTACGATACAATAATTTGTCTACAAGAGTTATTAATAGAAGTACATGTTTAAAGAATCATTTTTTGTGCAAAAAGTTTTATTCTACTACCAGGAATAAGCATTAATCATAATGAACGCATTTGTTAATTCTTTGCCTTAATTCCCCAAAGCTTATACCAATATATCATTTCTAATTAGCAAACCGTGACAAAAAATATACAAACGATATCAGTTAAAATATACTTGAACTTTGATGAGCAAAACAAATATCACTTGTATTCTGTACCATGTATTTGAATGGATTGAGTTTAATATATATCTTTTATGCACAACAGTAAACTTTCTGAGAGAAAACACAATTCTTTTGGCTGGAGTTGGAGGGGGGATTCTTGTGTTGTTCTTGGTTGTCATCGTAACGGTTATAATATGGGATATAAGAAGAAAAAGTAAGAGTTACTCATACTATTCTACAAACAAATTTAACAATCCTTGAGAATTACAATTATAATTAGCCAACCTCATTCAACTTAATTTAATTTTTTTGAAAAAAAGTCAGATTGTCCAGTGATCCATATAATAGCTTTTAATAAATGTTTGACTGTTTAGTATACAGTTTTTTCAAATGAATTTGAACAGCCGGAATTTAACATTGTCAGTGTACTGAACGTTGTGAAAGTCATTTATTCCTTACGAAAATAACTGCTGTAAAGGAGAAACTTCAGACGTAATGGAGAAAATTTAAAACCATCAAATTGTTCTTATGTCAATAACATCAAAATGTATGACTTTTCTACGCTTTATACAGCCATTTCTTACTATAAATCAAAAACTAGGCTTTTTAATATCGTAGACAAGTGTTTCTTTGATAAAAATGGAACTCTTGAGATTGGTCATCAACAACATTTTTTTGTTAAAAATCACTGATTCTATACAAAAGTATTCTGAAGATGATATTATGAGGATACTGGAGTTCCTCATTGACAACATTTATGTAGTCTTAGGCGACCACATCTTCCAACAAACTGTTGGAATTTCGATGGGCAAAACTTTGATCCTTTATAAGCCGACCTAGGCCTGTTATTAAATTCCTATGAAGAAGAATTTATTCTACATGAGAAGAAAACACTTGCTGTGGCCTTCAACTCAACATTCAGATTTATTGACGTTGTATTACCAACTAACAATAGTTATTTCCATTTATATATCGACTCGATATATCCCAGTGAACTTGAAATAAAAGATACCATCTTTATCATAAAGCTTGGTTTTTAGATTACCAGTATCACCTTTTTCCAGTAAAATATCCAAAAATGAAACAGATATGTCAGACTCTGTGGTATCTTTTATTCCAAGCTCACTGGGATATATCGTATCGACATACGAATGGAAATAACCATTTTTAATTGACAATACGTCGTCGATATATCTAAATGTCGAGTTGAAGGCCAAAGCAAGTGTTTTCTTCTTTTCACGTACAAGATAATATTAATAATATTATTACCATGACAAGGTAATATTATTCACTTTACAGAGAGACAGAAAAATATGACATTAAACGGAAATCAGTAAGTATTATTTAATGAGAAGGAAGTAGTTATATACATTCATCTGCTATCTGCCAATTCATCTCAAAGATTTCATGTTGACAATGAATCCTCACGTCTATATAAATGACAGATAATAATGGATGCAAGTGCATAATTATGGATCTGTTCAAGATTATTTTAAAAGCTGTTTCGGAGAGGTTAGGCTAGATATAAATTAAATGTACTTGTTCTCCGACCGCGTTTTATTCACAACACTTACATTTCACACAACTGTCCATTTAAAAAATAAAAACATTCGATATATTCCTTTTTAGAAACCAAAATGGAGAAGCAGAGAATCCTACCTCGGTTCCATCCAACTCTGAACGCATTTATGCGAGACCGTTTTCGTTTGGAAATAATAATAAAGGAAACGGTAATAAACACCTCTATTCAGGATGATGTGCATGATATTTCATGCCATTTTAAGAACAGTTTTGATGTATTAAGACAAGTTTATATTAAATTCATACTGTTAGAGTTGTTTACAGTTTTAAGTGGAAGATTAATATAACAATCGTTCATTGTCCCAACATTATAACATTTTTTTAAAACTATTTATCTTTGTAGCTTCTGCAGAAGTCCAAAGATTAACAGATCATGAAAGACAAATTGAACTAGAACGTAAACAATGTGCAAGGTAGGGTGTAAAGACCGAAATTAAATATTAAACTTTTATAATGCATCAACATAAGACATTTTCCGTACGCATTAATTGTATTTTTAATACTTTTCTTCTCATTTTCAGCATGTATAGCTACGGAGGATTCTCAATGAATGAGTTTCAAGATGATGAAATAATGTACGACAACCAGTTCGCCCCAGAATACAAATAATATTCATTACTATAATGACATTTTTAAAACAGAAACTGAAGAATACATATATATATATATATATATATACTTCCAAATCTTGATTTACAATGAAAATATCAATGGAACTATTATGAAGCTTAACAGCATTATATCTCCACCAGTTCAAGAAAATGATGGAAAGTTTGAAGATATTGGCAAATATGTTTGTTAAAAAAACTATAAAAAAATAAATAAATTGATTTTAATTTCATTTAATTAAATTTTAATCTTAACTACATGTATTCTCGATTTTTCATTCATTTTTTTCATTCCTAGATTGTTATTTTTTCAAACCTGATATACTGTATTTTAATAATGTATGAGGATATACTTGACCTTTAAAATCAAAATTTTATCAAACTAGATTTAAAAAAAAAAAGAAAATTATCTTCTTTCAGAAAAATTGGCTTTACATTCTTAAATATATGAAATATATTGAGATAACGAACAATATTCAAGCTCAAAAGTCAATTAAACAATACAAAATAGGAGCAGAGTAAACACGGACCTCCAAACATCAGAGGTGGGATCAGGTGCCATGGAGGAGTGAGCATCCCCTGACGACCGGTCACACCCGCCGTGTGCTCCTTGTCATGATCGGGAAATAACGGAAAAATCCGTCGACAATTCAGTGTGTAAATAATGGCCTAACAATTAGTATGAAAAACGTCAGTCAGCATTTGACTCAATGATAAATTGTATTTGCTGACATTATATCGACCATAGAACTTACGAAATACCAAATATGTCAAATACTTCTTCATTTCTTTCTACTGTTAAGTTCAGGATGGATCAAGAATATATTGAATTTATATGTTTATAGATGAGGACATTTAAATTGTATTTCGAAATTTTTGATTTTTTTAAATCGAATCATTATCACTCTGATTGGACTTACATTACACCCAAGAGAAGTTAAATGCCCTCTGCGAATCATTTTCATTTACCAACTCAGAAAGAGGACAAACAATTTATTATGAATTTTCATCATCTGAAGCTATAGATAATTCATATGGAATATCTTTGATGAAACAAATAAGCCTGAACCATTTGGATCCTAATTCTCGCTTTTACGCAGCTTGAAACACGCAACTACAATACGAAATCTGATAAATATTGTCTATGGGTTATCTATATATTTCCAATATTCATCATCAGTTGTTTGGAAAATGCAATCACTTAATACGAAAACCAGTTAACAGTTAGCATATACCATGTCACCTCTGAGGTATTCAGACACAACTTCATAACAAAATCTGTATTCCGTCTGAAAAGAGAACATGAAACAAAAAGTGATAAGAATATTTTTTAATGAAATAGGTAAACTAAACAAGGGTTCAAAGGGCCACAACGCTCACCTCAGTCAATATGACCATGCTGTTCTTCATCAGCAGATTTTTTTCAATGATATATTCTTATGTATAACTTTGATCCCTGTTTTGACCCCAACCACCCCCCAGGTGTCATGATCTATATGTTTTTTTTTTTAAAATTGAATCTGCATTACCTGCATGAGACTGCTTCCAAATCAATATTACTGAAAATGGCTTTCCTGTTCTTGAGTAGGTTTTTAAAGATATTTTCCTATACATTCCTATGTAAAACTTTGATCACCCATCGTGGACACATCCTACTAAAAGGGTCACGATTTGAACAAACTTGAATCTTTACTAGCTGAGAATGCTTCCATATCAATATGACTAATTATGGCATTGCTGTTCTTCAGAAAAAGGATTTTAAAGGATTTATTCCTTTATATATTCCTATGTCAAATTTGATCCTCCATTGTGACCCCACCGTACTCCCAGGGGACATGATTTGAACAAACTTGATTATATACTACCTGAGGAGTTTTCCATATCAATATAACTAATCATGGATTTGTTGATCTTGGGAAGATTTTTCCCTGCATATTCCTATGTAAAATTTTTATATCATATTGTGGCCCCATCCTACCCCAGGGGACTTCATTTGAGCAAACTTGAATCCACACCAGCTGAGGACGCGTCCATATCAGTATAACTAATCATTGCTTTGCTGTTCTTGAGAAGATTTTGAAGATTTTTTTTTTCATATATATTCCTATGTAAAAATTTTGATGTTTCGTTGTGGCCTTACACTACACTATACCTCCGGGGGTCCTGATTTGAAGAAACTGGAATTTACACTATGTAAAGGAGGTTTCACATAAGTTTCAACTTTTTTGGGTTAGTGGTTCTTTAAAAGATACCACCAAATCTTCACTTTTTCTTAATTCTCTACCCTTGAAAGAGGGAGTGGACCTTCAATTGAATGTTAAAACTTGAATCCCCTTCCCCCAAGGATGCATTTTGGCAAGTTTTGGTTGAAAATGACCGAGTGGATCTAGAGAAGAAGTCGAAAATATCAAAAGTTTACAGACGGACGGATGGAAGACGGACAAAGTATGTTCAGAAAAGCTCATTTGAGCTTTCAGCTCAAGTGAGCTAAAAAAAAAAAGCATGATCAAATAGATAAATACTCGGAATTAAAATGTCTTACAAAATCAGAGAAAAATTCTGGTCTGCGAATCTGAAGCTGGCGAGCTATGGTGAAGATGTCAACTTCATGGTCAGTCATTAGTTCTTCTAATGCACTGAACACAGCACAAAACATTCCACTTTTCGAAGCTCCATCACTGAAAAGCAAAATGTGAAGACCGTTCATGTCATCATTTTGCGTTCAAATTAACATGTATTTAAATAACCTGATGTTATAATCATAATCAAATGCATGGCGTATGCGTCGACGATGAGATGAATTTACATGTATCTAGTACTGAAGCAAAACATTTCATTCAATTTTGCAAATACTGACTAGTTTCCAAATGACAGAATATGTCTTATGTACAAGTACAACCTCTTTTCAGAAACAATAGCTTTGCAATCAATAGGGATCAATAACTAGTATTCTGTGTACATTTTAAAGAAAATGTTTCGTTAATAAACCTTGATAATACAACAATGGAAGATCTGGGCCGGATATATTGAGACATTTTGATTTCCTTCACTAAATCCACCACCACTCCAGGATTCACCTTCCAATCTGCTGCTTGCCAAGGAATACATTCAAAAACATCTAAATGCACGTCTTTAGAACCCTAATATAGTAAGTACATTGTAAATTTCAAATTGATAGACATTTAATTGAAAATTTTAAGTTATTGGTTTGTATTTATTGAAATTTTCTCTATTTCGGAAAAGCATTTACTTTAAGGAAACAACAAATAAGAAATACTGAGTACATGTATTCCTTATTTGCAAATTTATTAAGTAACTTCGCCCAAACATCTGGTAATCATTTACCTTTTTTCTCAAGACCAATTTGGTTTTGGAGACATTTGGTGTCTTTAACGTAGATTTATGTGTTAAGATAAAGGATCCGACAGTGATGGACGATTGTTCTTGAGGCAAAAATGAATTTGTCTGTAAAAAGAAAAGAAATCGACCACTAGCTTTACAAATGAAACATGTATTATTTCTTGAACTGGGGCAGAGAGTACTTTTTAGCTTCCTTCCCCGAAGTGAAATAAGATATATGCAATAAACCTCAAATGCACAATAATTAACTTTAGAGAAAAAGTACTGCAATTATTGCATGTTATTATTACTTGAACTTAATAAATATATCTACAGCATATAATAAAGTAAGATAAACCATTTTACATAAACTGATTCTATGTCCGTTAGAGAGGAGAGGGCTACTATAACAGACGTGTCGAAGTCTTTGAGTAGTCTGAAGAGTGATTCCGTTGATCCAGCAGCTGGAAACTGGGCACTAATTAAGGCGTCAGGTCGGGTGTAAGACTGAAACATACCATCAGTAGTAGGAGTAAGTATTACACGTAATACCATAAATCTTTCCAATTCAGTGTATTCAAAATGTACATGAATCAGGAATTACATATGTCATCTTTTTTTCTGACTGTTTAAGGTGTCACAATTATGGCGGTATTCATAAATTAGCGCTCAAACATTTGTGACAAACGCGCAAAAAGATGTATTCTGCGAAGACAAGTACACATAAGGCTTATTTAAAAAGGAAATAAAACATACGAAAACCAAAACGCAACAGATAAAGAGAAACCACATAACAGGCAATTCAAAAATTTTCTTCAAATAAATCAAATTGCTTTGTATTCTGGCCTTGTAATCTGCTCGATGAGCTTACCATATTTATAATTGTAAACAGATTTTCGTAGCTGAGCTTTACCTGTAGTAAAACAGCGTTGTAGTAATTACTTTGTCCTTTGACGTAGGTAAGGTGGCAATGATATTTGTCCACTGTGCAAAAAAAAATGTCAATGTAATTTCAGTTCATCACTAAAATTTGACGTTTTATAAAGATTTTTTTTTCTCATAAAGATTAACTAAGAATAAAAATGGACCTGGCAAAATATCCGGTGAGAAGTTCCTTTCCAAATTTTCTTTAGCAGTTGATAAATCTGATTCGGAGTAAATTGGCTTTAAGGCTTTCAATGTCTTCAAAACACCAAAATCGAGAGATTTATGGATTTGTTATTAGACATTTACGTTAATAAATACATATTAAGTTAATCATCTAATGATTGTTCGGTAATTGAAATGGTTTGTTATAGCATTACAGTACCTTGTATTCCATCGCCAGCTCTGTGGATGAATCAGAAGCATCGTTTTTCAAGCCGCCATATTTTTCGACAAATTCATCTCTATTAACCAAATTGTGTTTCGCACGGAAAGCCTCGTTCAGTGTTTCATACACCATTTTGTATTGCTCCTGATTAATATATGAAAACGAGTACAAAAGCAAGGGTTTATAGAAAATATGACACCTTTGAAATCAAATAAACCTTCAAATCTTAAAAGAGTTTTTTTTTTTATTTTTTTATTTTTTTATTTTTTTTTTTTTAATTTTTTTATTTCTTTTGTAAAGTGTAATAGCAAACATTAAAAAAATATCATGATTTTTTTTTATAAAACGTTTCAGATAAGACAAAAATATGCAAAACACACGTGGCCTTGAATCATGTTCATTCGATGTTTTCTCATTGTTCTGACATAACCCGGGATATCAACTTTTCCGAATTTTGTACCTTGACTGTAGAGGGAATCTATAGCAATAAAAGTACCCGTCCTACCGATCCCCGCGCTGTAATAAAACCAATCAATGATTGATTATTTAGAACAAATAAGACCAATCAGGTGATTGATTATTTAGAATAAGTGAGACAAGTAATAGTGATTGATTATTTAGAACGTTGCAAAAAATATATACATTTTATATAACATTAACATTGTATGTATAGGTTGTTCTTAGAAAATGCTTGCATATAATAGCCATTTTATTGTCTTCGAAATTAGAGAACATATCAAATTCATTGTAATAGCTTTAGGCATATCCTTGCCTGTAGTTCTTGATGATCCCATACCTGCAATGTACAATAATTGGAGATTTAACCTGTGACTGGGCCACCCGTGTAACATGTCTCTGGAAGAGTGCCAAGTTTAGAGCTTCCGGTACGTCATGATCTGGCCACTCCGTGTAATGGAACATGCAGACCACTCGTATATCAATGCTCTAGGGACATGTATTTTTATCATTTTCAGTTTCCAATTCCTTTTCAGTTATGTTTGTCATAGAGTTTAATAAGAGTAACTGTTTCTTATTTTGCAAACATTTGGAAAAAAAAGAATAAAATTGAATATGATTTAAAAAAAAAAACTATGAAATGAACAAATATAACTGGTTTGTATTTAATTGATAATTTGAAAATTACAAAACAAAAGACATCTTAGTGAGAATACTAGATATGTCATCACATTCACTGGTAAAACGCAACTTACGGAACTCCTCAACTGCCTTATGTGGAGAACATTCATTATATGATGATACTTTAGCATTATATGCTGATATTTGAACATTATATGCTGATACTTTGACATTATATGCTGATACTTCGACATTATATGCTGATACTTCAACATTAAATGCTGATACTTTGTCATTATATGATGATACTTTAGCATTATATGCTGATACTTTAACATTATATGCTGATGCTTTGACATTATATGCTGATACTTCGACATTATATGCTGATACTTTGTCATTATATGATGATACTTTAACATTATTTGCTGATACTTTAACATTATATGCTGATACTTTGACATTATATGCTGATATTTCGACATCATATGCTGATACTTTGTAATTATATGCTGATACTTAAACATCATATACTGACACTTTGTCATTATATGCTCATACTTTAACATTATATGCTGATACTTCAACATTATATGCTGATACTTTAACATACATGTATATGATGATACTTCACTATATGGTGCTTAAAAAATAAGTTCATACCAGAATCTTAATGTTATGAATAAAATTATCAAGTTTGTCTATTTAGAAAGTTGGATCTTATTACGCTAAAAATGTGATTTTAAGCAGTCTAAAGTATATGTGAAAGCCCCCCCCCATCCCAAATGAAATGAAGAAAAAAGTAAGAGGAGGAAAGAATGAAAAATTTTAGAAAACTTTATCTTCTTGAAATATGTAGAGATAACAAACAGTATTCGAGCTCAAAAGTCCATTAAACATTAAAGAATAGGAGTAGAGCAAACACGGACCTCTAAGACGTCAGAGGTGGGATCAGGTGCCATGGAGGAGTGAGCATCCCCTGCCGACCGGTAACACCCACCGTGTGCTCCTTGTCATGATCGGGAAATAACGGAAAAATCCGTCGACAAATCGGTGTGTAAATAATGGCCTTACAATTAGTATGAAAAAGGTCAGTCAATATTTGACTTAATGAAAGATTGTATTTGCTGACAAGGTCATTGTATCGACCATGATGACTTTAAACGAGACTACTGATATTCTTGTGTCATCATTTTGTTTGTCAATAATTTACCTCGTTTTAGAAATTGTTCATACGTAGAGCCTGCTCTTGCTTATCGAATCAACTGAGAGATATAAACCCCGTATGCAGGTGATAAGGGTATATTGCTGCACAGGTAAGGGAAGATGACGATTGAGAAGTAAAAGTCATCATGTTTGTCATGAAGTTTTGTTGTAAGATTACCATTAACGTCTTTTTCTAATAAAATATACAAATATGAAACAGATGTGTCAGACTCTGGTATCTTTTATCTTAAGCTCACCGGTATATATCGTGTCGACATAAGAATGGAAATAACCATTGTCAATTGATTATACGTCGTCGGTATATCTAAATGTCGAGTTGAAGGCAACAGCAAGTGTTTTCTTCTTTTTAAGTAAAAGATTTTGAAAAAATTCCGCTTCATATGAATACAAAAATAGGCCTGCTAATAACGGGGCGCAATTGGTACCCAAGGGAATTCCAATAGTTTGTTGGACGTTCTGGTCTCCAAAAACCACATAGTTCTTGTCATTCAGAAACTCAAACATCTTTTTAATGTCAACTTCATGTTCTTGATATTCAACAGAGAAAACCTGAATCTTGAGAAAACCTTTGCTCTTTTACTACAAGTATTTTGAGCTTCTGTTGTCATTATCAATAGCCCCCCCCCCCCATTTTGAAATCCTGTATACGCATCTGGAATGTGTTTACTGGCTTATATACTTACATGCTTTATTGCAATAAATACAAGTATATATTTTATTATGATCTCTTATAGATGAATTTATTTTGCGGCATTGTTTCATTGAAATAAAAGAAATTTTAGTGACATATTATATTAGTTGTTTGGATGATTAAAATATTTTTTTAAGTTTATAATTTTTTATTTTTAAAAAATTGGAGGGGAAGGGGGATGGGGGTGGCAAGATTACAACACCGTAAATATTGATTTCACAAAGTTCAAACTTAATTAAATACCTCAGTCTCCGTGATTTTACAGTTTTCCAGAATGATCGCATGCATTGCATTGGATGTATAGACCAGCTTAAATAATCCAATTGACAAATGCAATAAGCATCTAGATTCTGGATGAGGTTATGAGTCATTAGTAGCCTAAATTACAATGTAGATATCGTAACAATGAAATTCCTGAGCAACAACCCCCGTCCCGCTGATTTGAAAATTAATATAAAAGTGCAGAGCTATCATGAACTTAGTGCTGACACGTGGTTCTAAGGCCGAAACGACCATGCAATACTTGTGGGAGGGGGGAAGGCTATCACATTTTGGAAATAAATAATCTGTCCTTTTAAATGCTTAAAATAAATCATTATGTCCTCCACTTGCAAGACTTTGTCGTGGAGGTAGTCCCACTCCTCTCCCCAAAGAAATAAAGTTTTCGAGTTTGGATAGACTTTGTTGTTCAGTGTGTCTGAAAATAAATAGACTGTACTTGATCATCTAGGAAATGAATAATCTATCATTCACGTAGTGACATGAAAATAAATAATCTGACTCGAAAAAAAAATTGCACCCCCAAACGAACAAATGTTTGTCCCCTAAATTGTATCATTCTGCTTTGATGTCCCTGTACCATCATTGATTTTTCAAAAAACAGCCAAGTTTTATTACCAGGAATAGTTCCTGAACTTCCAAAGTATCACTATGCAATTGAAAACTAAACTTTTTTCTTGTCAGAGAATTTTGGTACATGTATGACGATCCCGATGTTTATTCTAGTTTTAAAGCACCATATAGTGAAGTATCTTCATATAAGGTTTAAGTATCAGCATATAATATTGAAATATCAGCATATAATGTTGAAGTATCAGGATACAATGTTGAACTATCAGCATATAATGTTAAAGTATCATATAATGTTAAAGTATCAGCACATAATGTTGAAGTATCAGCATATAATGACAAAGTATCAGCATATAATGTTAATTAAAGTATCAGCATAATGTTAAAGTATCAGCATATAATGTTAAGGTATCAGCATATAATGACAAACTATCAGCATATAATGACAAAGTATCAGCATATCATGAATGTTCTCCACATAAGGCAGCTGAGGCGATCCATAGCAGCAAGTAATATGCCAGATTTTGGCAATTCATTAAATTTAAACACACACTAACATACTGATTCTTTATTGTGCCACTGCCTATTATGGCACATTACTTCTATTTCTATTAATGACTTTCATGTTTAAACCAATTTTTTTTGTAAGGAATACGATTTGCTGTTCTTATGAAAAGGTGATATCGCTATATCGAGGTCATATACTGTAAGTCTTTGGCTACATTTTTACTGTCCATGCAATACTTTCTTTTAATTCTTCGGTTGCTCTTGTAAATTAAGGGTTCGCTTATCTATTGTTTTGTGAGGAAGAAATGAAAAGGGGTCCTATGAAGACATGGGAATGTACATGTAAGTGGAAATGTTCTGTAATGCATTCATGTATTTCATCATAGTTTAAAAGTTTTTTAAAAATGTATCAAATATTTGTACCTCGATTAAAGAGTCAATACCTACTGTCTTGCTAGTTACGTTAAATTTTCTCACGACGTAATTTGCGTAGACTGTTTCTTCAATATTCCGTATTTTAATGCTCCCTCTTTTGTGAGAATGACCTTGATCTGGCCAGTATTTGTCACATTTAATCTGCAATACAAACATATTATCATATATATATATATATATATATATATATATATATATATAGATATAGATATAGATAGTCAGCCAGTAGCATATTATTTCATGCTTTGTGATGAACATGGATAGTGACAATAGTAGGTCAGTACCCATAGAGGAATGGGCTTAACTCCCGTAAGGTTCTAAGCAAAGAATCGGCAAAATGAAGAAGACATCATGATCTGTACTAGTTTTCATTTCATATAAAAGCACGTTATTATAATTATGAGAAAGGTCCTGAAATCGATTGAAAAGAAAAACTAAACAATTTTGAAACTGCACATAAAGATGTATTTTTAAACTCATTTATAATACATGTATATGGTAAGACCATCAGCGCGTGAGTTTCGTCCGGGGGGGGGGGGGGGGGTATCAGTATCTTGTTTTGCTCTAGCTATAAAGTGTACAGTCCATTTACTTTGAGTTCTAGAGCCGCATTTTTGTCTCAAACACTTCAAGAAAAGGCAGTTAAAACTGTTCATAATTTACTTCAACGTGGAGAACGACGGAAAACAGACCAGTCTATAAAAAAGGCCGTCTCGATCATCAATCTGTCACTGACCAGAGAAGCGCGCCCTCTAGTAAGAGAGTACATGTAGTATGAATTTCTTTAGAATCATCTAATTATTTTCCCCAAAATTATAATCTATAAAATTTATATCTACGCTAAATGATTGAATAGTGGCATGTCTTAGATATTCGTTAATCTGCAGTATTTGGTTATGAGATTTGAGAAAGTCAATTGTACATCTTGTGTAATGAAGTATCGCAACTATGTCGCTCCTTGATGACGGAAACGTTTAGCACCTCTCTTGCTTATACGTTCCATAGATATTGATTGATTAGTCAGGCAAGCTTTTTGAAAAGCTATTACTTATTGTGCCCTAAAATTGGTGCTCAAAATTACTCAACCGTACAATGTATTTCACATAACTTATGAAGTTTTCCTTGTAGTGTCGATATCGATGATATTGCTTCGATATCAAATCATGTTTGCTCAACCCTTGGTTAGTTTCGTCCTTGCCATTATGTATGTTTGTCTGTGTTTAAATACACACTTACATTTACAAGGATTTTAGTTGCAATCGATGTCGTCAATGTCGACGACATCATATCGATATCAAATCATTTTCGTCATCATTCTTGTAACCGTATTTCTTTATGCAATACGTGTGTGTATGTACTCTTTGCTTATCAAAACTGCCCAAAACCTTACCCTTACCCTAACATGATATTTTCGATATAAATGATATCGACATAGCACTAAGCCGTTTTTTGTTCGTTTATTGTTTAACGTCCCTCTCAAAAATTTTTCACTCATATAGAGACGCCACCACTTGCCGGTGGAGAGCTGCAAATTCTGACCTTTACTCGGCACTCAGGGAAATTGAGCAGTGAGGGATCTTTTTCGTGCCAGCACCTACTGCGACACGGGACCTCGGTTTATACGGTCTCATCCGAAGGACCGGTCTCCACGTCCCAAAGTGGAATTCAAACCCGCGACGCACTAAGTCGTATATGGTTTCCAGGATTTCCAATTTAGGATTTGGATCGATATCTGTACGATATCGACATAATATTTAATTTGTTGATGTCGACATCAAATTCGTTCTTGGACATACATGGCTACCTTCGACCAACATAAGAATACCCTGTCGGAAAGGAGGAATAATATCGCTGTGAGAAAGATAAATACACTGATGAACTCCATACAGAGGAGAATCAAGGCTGTGACACATGTGCGAAGGATATAATGAGAATTTTTAATTTAACTTTTTGGGGTACTGTCATTTTAATTTCATTAACTCATGAATTATCAGTCAAAATCAAATGAGATTTTGGTTTTACCCTGCATTTCTTTTTCCTTTCAGTATATTGATGGTGGAGATCATTGGATTTTGTGAAAATGTCATATTTATGATGAATGTCATATTTATGAAGAAGTGTTTTGAAAAAGCACCTTCGTGCCCTCCTTTATGTTTGTGAGATTCACAATCTTTGTTGTGTTTTCTTGCCAAACCATCCTCCAAAAATCTGTAATAGTTGTAACTTTAGGCCCTAAAAAGAAAAGCTATATAATTTTTGCAAAATTGGATGAAATCAAAAGCAAAATTGATTATTGAGTGTTCATTGATTGATATTGAAATTAAAAACTTCGAACCTTGTGTAGCTATGTAGGCCATTTCTCCGTCAATGTCCTGCAATACACTATGGTTTAGTGTACTGAATTTAAATGCAAAATTTAACTCCAAAAATACAAGATCTCAATGAACCTTGAAATTTGCATTCTAGATCGATAACAGAAAATAGTGTAGCTGTTAAATACAACCCAATTCTTTAAGCATAGGTAAATATACACTAGATAAAATTGCTAACGCAGGGCCAAAGAAAATTTAATATTTTTCTTTTCAAAACTGGTTTATGATGTATTTGTTTGTATATTGTTTAACGACCCTCTCGAGAATTTTTCACTCACATGGAGACGCCACCACTTGCCGGTGGAGAGCTGCAATTTTTTGACCTATACTCGGCACTTACGGCTATTGAGCAGTGACGGGTCTTTTTCGTGCAAGCACCTACTGCGACACGGGACCTTGGTTTATAGGGTCTCATCCGAAGGACCGGTCTCCACGTCCCACAGTGGGATTCGAACCTGCGACGTAAGGATCAACTCCTTACTCCGCGACTCTTGAGCAGACGCTCTAACCACTGCGCCACGCGGGCGACTATGATGAATTTGATATATGATTATGTGACGTAAGTAAAAAGTGAGTCATTTAAATGTCTTAACTGATAAATAACTACAATGTTAACTGAAGCATAGTCATTTCATATAAAAATGAAAATCATACCCATACTTTTTTGGAGGAATGTTTTAATTTTTTTATGTGATTGTGTTCTTTGTTTGTTTAATAAAAACCTCAGCAAGAAATTCAGCTCTATACAGCGTTTGACCCTAAAAGGGCGTGCTAAAGCAACCAATATGGTGTCTGTAGGGCACCATGGAGAAATTTGTTAAAAATAAAACAATTAAAAGATTATGTATTCATGTAGTGAAAATATGTTAGAAATAGATTAACAAACACAAAAATGTTTTCTATAGATAGCCATGGCATTAAGTAAGCACCACACGACAATTTGATGATTTTTCCACTAATTTAGGGCAACCAGAAGTTGGGGGACTGGGTATACATGGACACAAAGGCACTGGATAGATACTAGGCGATATGTTAGCCAATCGCTGTATATCAATTGATTTTAATACTGCTTCTGGTGCAACCCCTCGGACCACCATCGGTAGTCACAAACTTCATATCGGTGCACAGTGCAGTCGGAAAATCGGTTTTGGCATATCAGATATACTCGTACCACTTTCATATCAGATATACTAGTAACAATAAGCAAATGTTCAATTCACAAAAAAGAATAACAAGTGGTGCGTTAGCAATTTTGTCTAGGGCAAATGTCTGCTATCCTATCCTATTTGGGCATTTATATCTTTTAATTATACGCAAATATAAATGACTTACTAAAATCTTTTATCGCAAGGACATTTATCTCTTAATTAAGGTTATAACCCAAATTACCTCCAAATAGTTTGCATTTATGTAGTCGGACTCTTTTTGTGAGCTGCACTGTAACACCACACGAGAGTGATCGTCTGTAAAATGATTACAAAATAATTCAAATAAGTAACTGAACATTTTGTTAAAGTGTACATTCCTCCAAGAAAATTAACAATAAATGCAAAGTACATCTCACATAGCTATGGAATTTACTTACAGGGAAATGTAGTTTTATATCGGTTTCTTGGAATATTCTCTGCTTTCTTTGCTTCATCACATGGAAACTGTTCTCCTTTTGGCAAAGCCTATTGAATGTCATTTATCTTCATTAATTATCTTAATTGTATATATATTCATGTTAAAGAACAGTTAGAACTTCACTGTGCATTCTGTTTTTAAAAAAACACTATAGTAACCGTTACTTATTTAAGTTACATATCTAGATTTGTTCTTGATCATCCATGATGCACACTGTGCATGGTTTTCAACTTGAAATGCCAAATTTACCAAGTACTCTGTCTTGAAGACAGCATTGTCATCTTCTGATTTAGTTGTAATTATTTTATGTAATTCTGAGACAGAAATGCTGTCATAATCTTCCGTATCGTCAGTCTCATTTTCGAATTCCAGTGTTGTACTTTGATAGGAAACGTTGTCGCATTCTGTGATTAATAGATAAGCAATTATGATGAAAAAAAAATGGAATTAAAATAATTATGTTGAAATTGTCCAGAATGTCCAGAAATATTTATTGGTGACTTCATCAAAACTTATATATGTCATATCCAAATGATTTGTATAATCGAAGTCATTAATAAAGCATCTATTTGCATTCCTACTTTATAATACTTTTATTATCTAAGGTGTATAACAATTTAAACTGTTTAAACTGCCATCTGAAGTAACCCTTGGCACCCGGTAAGTACCAGGTAGCAATGTTAAGGCAAGTATACAATACTTATATGCACAATTAATATATATCTTATTTACCACAAACAAAATGATGAACTTAAACTGTATATATTTAGATATAATAATTAATTTTGAATTACACACGAAAGGTACATAAACTGAAACATTGTTTACTCTATTCGACCCCAATGAAATCATATACGTATTTTTTATCTACCAGAAAAGTTGTCGTCTTGGTCACTTCTTCTCTTTAAAGCAGAGAAAATCATCAATCCAAAGGAGTCTTTTCCACCCTTTCTCTGCGGTGATATTCGCCTGAAGAATAAAGTGTACTGAAGATTGTTTACCTTCTCGATTTGGGGATAAGAATGTGTCAAAGTATAAGAAAAAGACGAAAAGCAATTCCTTCTACTCTGTCCATATTTCGCATTAGTTATGTTCTTGAAGTTAATTGCATTTATCACAATATTGACCAACATTTCACCAACCCACCCTTCCCTAATATATGTGAATAGATTTTGGCTGCTTTCTCTTTAATGATTTCAGTAACGGAAGCGTATGCTTACTTCGGAAGAGATGTGTATGTGGAACAACTTGGCTGTTGGACTCGTTAGCAAGGGAAGGATATGGTCATTGTGTAATGTTGTGTACATGGTGGGACTATTTTGTGTTTATATTGGTCAATTTCTGTTGAAATGTCAACGATTCGATCCTAAATTTTATTGGACATTTCTAAGGTGTACATAATCAGTACTTCATTGACATTGGTGATCATTGATGAATATGTGTTTACGTTCAGTGTAACTTTAGTATCACAAGCAAGAATAGCTTATATATATATATATATATATATATATATATATATATATATATATATATATATATATTGACTGATTTATAATGATTAGCCAGAAAAAAATCCCGATTTATCACGTGTATCACATGTATCTGAGTGAATGGCTATCACATGTACATGTATCTGAGTGAATAGCATATTTTATCAATTTTCCTCCACAAATAACCAACAAACATACCAAGCAACAAGGATTATAACAATGAAGATTATAAATACAGCTGCACTGATTCCGATTACTATTGCAGTTTGAATGGTGTCATCCAATGCCCTCTCTGTAATAGAATAGATAAAAACATTGATGAGAAAAATGTATATAAATTCGTAAATATCTTTTCTGGCGGGACTGTTGATCTCTTACAAAGATCAAATTGTTGTATACTTTTGTATAATTGTAAATAAATATTGTTACCTTTGACGTGTGTGTGTGTGTTTAGTATTAATTCATTACATAATCTTTATATTTACAATTTTGTATTTCAAATGCATATATTTTGCATGCTTTAACTTTTGAAAATTTACCTCAGTTTTGAGTAAAAATTTGTGAGTCGCAATATTTAATCTGATGTTTTGTTTTCATTACGCAAGCTCATGTAACAAGAAAAATTTCTGTTCATTACGATGAAAGAGGTAAGCATAAATGAAAATTGTTTTAATAACTGATTTGAATCATATCTATTTTCATTAAATTCTGTTGTGTCCTGTGTTGGCCTCACTGAAGGTGTTACCCATGGCGAGCCAAACTGAATTTTAAATTTCTCTGCTTTCTAATTTATCGATATATATTTAAGCATCTTATTAAATTTGTGTCCCTCTTAGAAACATTTCAATAAGCTCCTATCCCCCATCTCCTCCTTCACCTCTTATTCAGCTTAGGGGACTGCTGACTCTTTTCAACGACAAGCTTCTTTTGTACATTGTATAATTGAAATTATAAAATGGTTACCTTTAAACGTCTTTACGTTTATTTTTTTTAATTCTTAGCAATAGTTCATTATGTAATAGTTATGTTTCCCAATTTTGCATTTTACATTTTTTAAATTTCTTTTATATACTTCTATAAACTTAATTTTGAGTAAAATGTTCCGCAAAATATCTTGTGTTTTTTTTTCATTGCCTCAAGCTTATATGACGAGGTAAAGAGCAATAGCAACCTTGTCGACGACACGGCCGACTCAAGAATTGAAAAGAAAATCTTTTCAATTGAAACCAACCTATGTAATATGATTTGACGAGTGTTATATTTTCATACGTGCAATTATGTCATATAACAATCATATTACATGAACATTACCATTATTTCGAGACAAAAGGTTAAGAAAATCAGTAAAAATAAAACAAGTAGCTATGAATTTGCAAAATTCAATGACATCGTATAGAACTGTCTTTTTACCCCGAGATATTTTCTAAGTTTATCCTGTATATTAGATCCTTTTTAAATTATATAATAGAAAATAAAAAAGAAAACGCAAGAAAGATACACAGAGAAAAACAAAAGGCCCATGGGTCACATGGCTCACCAGAGCACATTGGCTGGGAGGAAACAGAAATCAGTTTACTATTGAAAATTTTTAAAGGGGGGGGTGCAAACGTAAACTTACACTACTTCAGGATGCTTCTATATCAATATTATTAATCATGGCTTTGCTACTCTTAACCAGAAAAAAATTAAAGATTTTTTTTCCGAAACTCTGATTGCTCATTGTGCCCCCCCCCCCGTAAATTGAACAAATTTGAATCTACACTACATGAGGATGCTTCTATATGCTGTTCATGAGCAGATTTTTTTTCAAGATGATTCCTATATATTATTATGCAAAATTTTGACCCTCTGTTGTGCCCCCAACCCCATGGGGTCATAATTTGAACAATTTGATTCTACAATACTTAAGGTTGCCTATCTATTAATGAAATATATGGAGATAACGAACAGTATTCAAGCTCAAAAGTCCATTAAGCAATACAAAATAGGAGCAGAGCAAACACGGACCTCCAAACATCAGAGGTGGGATCAGGTGCCATGGAGGAGTGAGCATCCCCTGCCGACCGGTCACACCCGCCGTGTGCTCCTTGTCATGATCGGGAAATAACGGAAAAATCCGTGGACAATTAAGTGTGTAAATAATGGCCTAACAATTAGTATGAAAAACGTCAGTCAGCATTTGACTCAATGATAAATTGTATTTGCTGACAAGGTCAGCTAAGTTATTCTTGAGATGAAGATTTCAAAAATATTTCCTACTTAACATGCATGATCAGGTTCTTACAAGGGATATATAGGTTTTCCTTTTACTCTCTCTGAGTAAATGATTGGAATGATTATTAAGACAGCTCTGTTTGAGGGTTTATAACACAGTACTTAAATTTTCTCTTATCTAGAAATGGGGACTGGGTAAGGTACTTCTTGCATCGTGTTTCTCCCCTAGGTTCCCATTGATAGATAAGAACCAGTTGTCTCAATCTTCAGATTTACTACACCCAGAACTTAACTCCTCAGGGTACTTGCCACTAATATAAACAAACTTGAATTTAGAGTATGTAATGAAGCTTTCACTTAAGTTTCATCTCCTCTTTCCAAGTGGTTCTTATGAAGAAGATTTTTAAAAGATGCCACCAAATTTTCACGAATCCTTATTTATCTCCCCTTGAAAGAGAGCGTGGCACTTCCTGTGAACAAACGTAAATCCTCTTCACCCAAGGGTGTTTTGTGGCAAGGTTGGTTGAAATTGGCCCAGTGGTTCTTGAGCAGTCGAAAATGTGAAAAGTTTACAGACGATCGTCGACAGACGGACGCCGGCCACTCTTCGGCTCGGGTGAGCTAAAAATTTAAAAGGCATAAATGGAAAATGTTCGGCTCCAGCTCATTTACATTCCAGCAATCATACCACGGCGCCACGAGATGACTGATGTCGAAATGATAACTTAAGACAGATTGCTAAATCTTAAAATAATATGGGAAGGAAAATTGAATATACATTTTGATAATTTTCAATATTCAAAACACCTTTAACCAAAATTATCTAAATGTAATGAAGCACAGCCATACCCCCCAAATTATTCAAATGTTGTTTTTCTGGTTAAGGGTGGTCTTTGTCAAAAATTAGTCATCATTTAGGTAGATACTTCAATATTTACTACATGTAGATACTCTTTACAAACTCGATAATTTTTATATTTATCTTATACGGGAACCATTAACATTTACATATTATATGTATAAACTATGATGGCATGACACACATCTGGTTAAAAGATATGTTTTAGAAATCACTACTAGAGTAGGCGAAAATGCCTATCAAATGCCCTATTACTCTTTCTGTTCATCAGGTTCATCAAGACGAAAGAAAAACGCGTAAATATAAGTATGCATTATTACATTACTAGTATTACGTATTACATTGTATCAGACAAAGATTTAGTTAAGACATCATTTGCTCTCAAAATCAATCATTAAATTTTTATATATATCAAAATTTCTACAGTATGTTTAGAATCTTTTTATTACAAATATACTGACCGAATACTTGCACTTCACACAGTTCTGCTATCGTTTCACGCTGGCGTGATCCTTGTGGAAGAATTACTCCAGGTCCCCTTTCGTTATAATATGTAACATATCTACCATGTTGAATACAAACATGCTCAGATAACAAGGGAGGTAACACGTCCTTATTCTTATAACAGAGATGTCCTTCTTTAAGCCCAGTAGAGTTTGCAATATATAGTGAGAAACCAGCATGGGCAGAAACACGTTTTTCTACTGCAGATAAAAGAAAAAAATCGAAATGACACAAAATAATTTTAATCAAGCTAAGCTACTCTTTCTTGGTATTTTAAATCAATTATATTACAATATATTTCACCGTCATAGTAGCTCAGTCACTAGAGCGCTCGCTTCGTGATCGGAAGGTCGTGAGTTCGCATCTCGACCGCACCTGACCTAAGTCGATGAAAAAATAGGTAGCAACTGTTCCTTCCCCAAGCACTCGGCACTTTGAAGTGAAAGTTGCTTGTCCTTCGGATGAGACCTTAAAAACCGAGGCCCCGTGACACGGCAGGCCTTGGCACGATAAAGATCCCTCACTGCTAAATGGCCCTGAGTGCCGAGTAAAGGTCTAAATTTGAAGCCCTTTATCGGTTTATGGTGACGTTTCTATATGAGTGAAAAATTCTCGACTGGGACGATAAACAACAATCAATCAATCAATCAATAGATTTCATGTAAAAAGATACCAATATGGAAAATAAAGAGCCATGCACACTTTAAAGCTGTTTCTTTTTCATGGCGAAAACAGTAACTTTAAGAAAAAATAGCAACTAAAAATACTTTTCATTCAAGACTAGAATTCGAAAATGGTATCAAATACTAAAGATTCTTAAATATACGCGAGAAATTAATTATCGCGTAATTTCGCGAGAAGTACCACTCGCGAAATAAAATTGGTT